AAAAATATGTAAATAGAGGCTGAATTTGGCTAATCAATAATTTCAGGTTTTACTGAATTGTTATAAAAATTTTGTTGATGTCCACTAAAATAATTTCCCACTTTTTAGCAAAAAATTGACCAAAAAAAAAAAACACATTTAATTTGCTCATCGGGAACCATTTCACATTGAAGGTAATTTTGGAAGTTTCCATAGTAATTCTGTGTATTTCCATGCACATGATAATTCTACTGCAAATTTTTTAATTCCCTTAATTCTTTGAAAATTGTTCGAAAACATTTATTGAGATGTCTAAACCAATAATTAACTAACAATAGTTGCCACCGTTGACTTGAGGCTCTTTGCAATTAATATTTGTACTCTAAAATAATGTAGATATGGTGTCCCTCCTCTTAATTCTTAACATACTAAGTGTTTCATTAGGTCAGGTACAATTTGTATTAAATAGCCATTGAAGAAACTCCCGGAGGAAGTGGTTTTCAGTTAGCCTAAAAAAAGAATAAGGATTCGAACAGCAATCATTGTTTGTATAACAATATGATACACAGTGCCATGTTGAAAAGGGTCCATATACTTACTCAGGAACTTACCATTTTGCCTCTAGTGACAAATGATTTTAAGACAGAGTTATCTTTTTACCATTGACCATAGATCAATTATGACCAATCCTGTAGTCCGGTCTGATTGGCTGACTGTAAGCCAATAAGGTGTCTAATTAACCAGTTATGGCAATCCATTATTGAGGAGGACAATGAATTTAACAGGAGCCAGGCGTGGCAGGACATAATGAATGTTCTACGAAGGCGAAGCCAGCAATTTGGTCCCTGCTAACGAATCAATCATTCACAAGATCGTAGTCTATAATTGGCCCGGGTCTAACCAATTGGGCTACATACCTCTACGCCATGGAAGCTCCAAAGTTCGTCGATCACTACAGGTACGGGGGACAAAATTAGTTTGTAAATAGCTGTTTGTGCCTTAGCATTCCAGGTAATCATTTGTAAATCCAGATTACAATCCAAATTATTGAGAAACAAAAAAAAAATATATAATGTATATATATATCAAGCGCAATAACAACTCTAAAGTCAAGAAGGAAATTCATCACTCTGTGAAACTAGGGCTGTTTCATAACTATAATAATAATACATGAAAGGATAAAAAAAGTGTTGGAAAAAAGACGAGTTCTTGCAGTCGAAAGATGTTACTTCCACTCTTCAACTTGAAGAAATTAGTAAAAACGAAGTCGATTAAGGTATCTCTTTAGCTCATCCGTCTAAAAAACATATACTTATTGTATCCCAGTGTCCCATATTGCCATAATTTAAGCCTCTATATCTCGGATTATCAAAAAACTAGATAATTTGACTCAGACTACTTTTGATTCGAAGTTATTCATCATTATTTGGAAATTTGATTTGACTAGTCGATTTTTTAAATCAAGAATTAATTAAAAAGTGCAAATTTGTAATAAGTTCATAAATGACCCAAGAGTTCCATTGAAGCCATATTATAACGGTCTCATTTAACTACACGTTTTGTTCCTCTAAACCTGAATAGCCAACAATCTCAAAATGGTCTGTGTGTGCTTGTGTACGACACAAATACGATGTTATATTAACTTTTTTGCTTACAAAAAAAAGTTTAATGCGTATGATTCTGAAGTACCACTTTATATTATTTACTTTACTTTGATTGGCTTGAAAACGGCTCCAACAGTTTTAATTAAACTCGTTACATTCATGTAAAATTTAATGTTATTTAATATCAGCTAGAACTCGTCCTCTTTGAAATGTACTACCCGTCCTAAATACCAAATTTCAAAAATTACTTCCTTTGATGTACTTTTAATTTTCTTTACTTAAAATAATTAACGTCTTTGGTATTTGCAGAAAAAAAACTTACTTTTCGTTATTACGCAGCTATAAATTGTTATGTAAGGCAATATATACCTATATTTTATAAGCCAATGTATACATATGTTTAGGCGTTGATTACCTCGGAGTTTTACGCCTCCAAGTCCTAACTTTATGTTTAAACACCGATATTATACAGAAAAACTTATTTTTCGTTATTCCTGATTTTCGTTATTACACAGCTCTTAAGCTTTATATAAGCAAATGTATATATATGTTTAGGGGTTGATGACTTCCAGGTTTTACACTTCTAAGTCCTAAATAACACCAACATATGTATGTTGGCTTATATAAAGCTTAAGAGCTGTGTTATAACGAAAATTAGGAAAATTAAGTTTTTCTGTATAATATCGAAGATTAAACATAAGTTATAATAGCTCTAACTTTCGTATGGTTGAAGATATGATATTAAAGTAATATGCATTCTTAATGAAAATTTAATTTCAAAAAGCTTTCTTCCTTATAAATGTTTCGTAAAATTAAATATAAAGAGTCGGCGAGACAAATAGCGTTGGAGAGCTAAAGATCAATAATAAATAATGTACAATTATTATATATTATTGTATTTTCTAAGAACTTCGTTGGATTATACCAGACCTGGACAAAAAGGATTTTAATTATAATTTTAAAATACCAAGTACTTCATGTTTTTTAGGAACAGTGTATTTTAATTACAAAATATTTATATTGTTTTAGAAAAGATATTTCAAATACAAAAATACCAAAAGTATTTCGTATTTTCATTACAAAAAATAAATACCGATGTAAATTACTTACTGGTGGAAGGTCACCCCATAATACAGAGATCCTTATCTATTTGATAATTTATTTTATGTATTTAAAATACAAATTAAAATACATTTTTTTATTTTAGTATCTTGAAAATAAAATACGAATACTTTTTTTTGTATTTTGTGAAGAAAACAACAGTTAATAGAACATAAAGAAATAGTTACAAGCGATCTATTTCACAATATATTTTACTTTTAAAATTGCAAAATATGAAAAATACATTTTATTTTGTATTTTAAAATATTTAATCCAAATATTAATACTTATAGTTAAACTAATATTATGAAAGTTAGTTAACTCTTTTAAAATTGTTTTTTACCCAAAATAAAGTGGTAAGTGAGAGCTATGTAAGGCATGCGGTATATCATATTTTTATTTTCAGAAACGTTATAAAACATATTATTATTTGGTTAAATATAGGATAAAGTATTAACTATCGGATTAATAGCTTAAAATTCTAGCAGTGATTAAATTGGTTACAATTTAGAGTTCATATATTTATACATTTTTTTTTCCTACGCCTAAGTAACTCCTGTTTCATCAGCCATGCGTGCTCTTGCAGTCCAATATAATTTTGCTCTCCGAGCATAAGGGCTGTCCATTTCATTAAAGGAACATCTTATGTCCTGTACTGCATGACATGTATCAAGATGCTCTCCTGTCATCATATCTAAGGAACATAGAGGGCATGTCGTGCTATCTTTTAAACCGATGCGGTGGAAGTGCTTCTGAAGGAAATCGTGGCCTGTGAGCATTCTAAAGCATGCCACATAAATACAAGCTTGCCCTCTAGGGAGGTCTCTAGGGATCATGCCACTTTCTTTGAGCAATCCACTCCATCGTTTCCCTTCAATTTTTTGTACATATTTCTCTTTCAGTGAACTTTGGAGGGTCTGTTTTATGATTCTTTTTGTTTAATCCACGGCCAGAGGAATATCGGGTTGGATCATTCCAGAACCTATACAAATAAACCTATATTTATACAAATAATTAGTGTTTTCCAAAAACTTTTTTTTTTCATTTCCACGATATACTAACTTTACGAAATATTGAGTGCTGTCATAAAAAAAAATTCTATAAAATAATTTTATAGATTGTAGAAATTATATAATTCAAATAGTATATAAAAGTTCAAATTGATTTTAAAAAAGTCAGAAATCGTCAATTATATTGTCTAACAATAACAAAGTCATCAGTAAATAAAATAATTAATAAAACTTTAGGAGACTATACCAATTATATATCTTTCATATTGAATACTTGATGGTCGACCGTGTTATATCATTGAGTAAGAAGATGGTTCGGGGTGGCTGTAAAAAAAAAGACTAACATAGTAAAAAAAATATTTTAATTAAAGCCTGGCTTTAACCATCTTCTTGCTCTATATATCTTTCACATATAATAGTGATATTTTATTTTTACATATACATATTTTATTTAATCGACTCAATTAATATCTTTTATATCAGAATTTGTTTTCATGATTGCAAATAAAACTTTGAACACAAAATTTTTAATGTAAAAAGAAAAATAAATATTTTTTTTAAAAACTATAAAATTTTCCTTACAGAAATAAAACTTATTATCGGCCGTGTATCTAGAACCTGCAAATTTTCAAATGTATTCACTTTGTTGTGTTTATCGCCAGTGATACTCAATTGCCATGATAATATAAAGAGAGGACGGCAAAAAATTTTAATCCAACAATAGTTCCTTAAATAAAGTAATGAAATAAATATCCTTTAAGGCGTTTAAATCCAATCTTGAAACGATTTGTTTTTCTTTTTTTTTTCAATCGATTTTAAAACGGGAATTTCCTCCAAAATGTAAGATCATAGACCAGAGAATTCATTAGCTCTAGCGAATTCTGAGAGAAGGGGGTTCGGGTTAAAACTCTTTAAAATGCACTGCTCAGACCATGTTCTTCTGTTGCAGAGCCCTCATGAAGGGACTGAGGAGAGTCGGCCTGGCCACTCCCTGGATCGAGAAGCCCTCCCTGCTCGGGAGGGTGCCCTTCCTCCTCTACGACAGCCTCTTGGTGGCCATCGTCGTCTACATGCTCTGCTGCTACGGCTATTCCATCACCACCATAACTATACCATTCCAGGTCACAATTCATATATTTATCTACGTGAATGATAAGTTAAGTCCGCGTATTACTAAAATGAACATATTCTATTTCTTCAGGAACTGTGTGGACTGGGTGTCAGCACGTCCAACTTCACGTGCGCTCTGCTGGTGACCTCCTACCAGGTCCGCTACAGTAAGAACCTGAAAAGGATCACCGACAACATGGACCGGATAGCTGAGCGGATCATGAGCAGCGACCTCGCAGGTGCAGAACATTTCTTGCAGCTGTACCAGCGGACCTCGAGGCTGATGGCCATCCTCACCAATCATTCTATATTCTTCAGCTTCACTCTACCGTTGGTTTATTGTTTCCCTGTTCCACTGATGGACTGGATGGAGGGGCACTACCGTTCCAGACAACCATTCAGAATCGCGAACCCTTTCGACGACAAGCTCCCAGGAGTGTACGAACTAATATGGCTGGTGATGACTTGCAGCATCTCATTTTCAACGTCGAAGAAAGCGGCAACGGATTGCCTGTTTGTGACACTGTTTAGCATCCAGAGCGACTTCCTAAAGTATCTTTCTGTTGCAATGACGGAGCTTCAAAAAGAACTAAAAGTCGAGAATAGCGCACAAGTTAGAAATAAATTAATATCATGGTTCAGGCTGCATCAAGATATAATAAGGTTGGTATTTTTGAAGAAAAAAATGTATAATGTGTTTAGCAATTATTTTACAAATAACCTAGATATGTTGTTTATTTTTATAAATAATATCACTTTTCTTTGGGTGAAATAATAGTATATTCTTAATTACAAATTAAAAGGAATAAATGAGTAATAGTATGAACAGTCTTACGCAATATTGAACAATCAAAGCACAAAGAGACTTGGAGTAGTTACAAGAATTGATGATGAAACCTTTAAAATTTATTAATTTTACATTAAATATAATATAATACATTAAAAAATGAAATTACGTTAGAACATAGAATTACATAGGAAATTTAAGTACTAAATTAGAACATTGGTAGCCATGGGTGTTGAAGCGGCACTTCAGGATTTCCAAAACAGAAATGTGTCGGTTCGAATTCTATGGAAATAGTTTTATAAGATAAAAAAATAAAATGAAAATCGCAAAGCTCAGAAGCCATTAGTAAAATTTATCTTTTTCGGTTATTGACGATCTTTAGTGATGAAGAAAAAAATAAATAAATTAAGGTAGTACATTAATAATATTAAATCATTCCCTAATATTTAAAGATTGTCAGATATTCATAAGTTTCAACTGCAGTTCAAAAGATTACTAAGTATAACAGAACATAGGAAATTAGTGCTTCTGGATCATATGTGTAAAGATATATCATGTTCACATATATATCAAATATATATAGTAAGCCTGGTTTGTTTAAAACTACTGTAGAGAATAGATAGTTGAGATTAAACATATGTAACATCCATTTTTAGAGAGTCACGACCTTTTTTGTATCCCTACATGGCATAATGAATGCCTGAAAAATATTAATATACATTGATATAAAATATTTTTTAAGATATCGATATTTTTTCATATATTAGATATTTTAAAATACATTATTCATATCGATATTATAATTTTACTAGTAAAAACGGTATTTCCAGAGAAACCAAAATACTACAAAGACGATCTAAAGAATGAAAATAACCTTTTTTAAAGTGATGTAATGGTATGTTCATATTGCTAACTATTGTTAACGTCACCAGATATTTCCTTTTCTGAAGTGAGACATTTCCGTTTGTTTTAAGAGGGGGAATAGTAGAAAAATTGCCGTTAAATCTTCTTTTTGATGTAAAATAAAAAACTGTAGGTACTTATATTTAATACTATACTATACTTATATTTAATACTATACTAGTACTTATATATAATACTATACATAATGATATTTAATAATATAATATCACTATATATACATAATATTTTAATGATATATATTTTATTATACAATATATTTAAACATATGAAAGGTAATGTAGTTGGGTACAAAGTTATAAAAATAATAAATAAATGTTTTTTTTTTAATTTGAATTTTTAACTTCGCTTCAATCTACTGTTTTATATTATGGTTCTCTCTACTATTTATTTTTTTTCAAACAATATAAAAAAGTTTCATTTATTTATTTATATATAACTTATTAGAAGGTATATTCATAACATACAGCAAAAGAGCATCTAACGTGGCACTAGCCATCTCTATTACAAAAGGTTTTGGTTGATAATTACTATTTCAATTTATTTATTTGGGATAAAAATGTGCTTGATGGTCAAAATCTGGACAGCATAAAGTCATCTTTCATCTTTATATTTTCTGGTCAAGATGGTAGATAGCTCTTTGGATTTTATTTTTAAAAAAACGATTATATATGCAACAGCCTTGTTTATTATTATGCTACAGAAACACGGAGGAACTAGTGGATGCGTTCTCCCCAGTCGTCATCATCTACTACATGACCACCATTGGGATTGTGGTCTGTGGTGCCTTCGTACAGTCCATGGTACATTTATCATTATTTATCGATTGAAATATCTAACAACAAATATTATAATTGATCGATGTTTCAGAAAGAAAACGAACTCGTGATCCAGTCTATCAGTATTGGAGGCTACATAATAATAACATTGGTATATTACTTCTTACTATCAAATACGGCTGATGAACTGACCACAGAGGTTAGTTTAAACATTATAACAATATATGTATATAATTCTTAAATATACAGTCTCCTACAGTTCAAACCCGTTGTCCACTTCCAGAAAACAAGATCCCGTGTTTTCGACCTTTACATCTCTCCCCACAAAACTAAAATATTTGAATATTCCTTTATTGTCCGATCCATTACCTTCCGGAATTCCTTGCCATCTGTTATCCACTGCCATCTGTTGCACACTTAATCGAACTTAAAGTAAGTGAGTAGAGGATGTGTCACTGACGGCAGTGATGAAATAGATTAAGATTTAAATTAAAATGTGTTGCATGATCTGCAACAGGACTTCCCCTCTCCTTCTGGGCAGAGATAGGGGATTACTATGAGTAACGATCACCAAATATTTTACCCAAATTGTATCACTATTGAGAATTCAATTTCTACTTGAGTTAATCGTGTGACATCAACTGAAGTAGTATTTAAATTCTTTGGTACTCAAAAAAAGGTCAGTATTTGAGTAAAACACCCGGTACTCTGTACTCAAAATAGCTTTTGCCCGTCTCTGCTTCTGGGTCATCATCAGTGCGGCTTCGTTTTCCGGAAATAATTTCTGTCCAAAGTTCAAGTTCTAGCTCCTCTTCTTTGATCAAACTCTTAAAGAACTCACGCTGTACTATTACACCCACCGGGGTACGTATGTGGGGCGATAATTAATTCTCTAGCTTTAAGGAAGCTAAATTTCTCCTTAAGCAACCATCCTAAGTAAGCAGTTGGGTGAGGTTATCTCTAGCATCTTTCATTAAACAGCGAACTGTAAAAAAAAAATAATAAAATAAAAGAAAGAGATAATAAAAAAAAAATTATTTATGAATAAATGCGAAATATTCATAAAGAAATTTAAAAAAAAAATTTAATTTGGGATACGTCATATCCTTTTTAATTAAATTTACATTGATCGATGTGATTTAAACGCAGTTGTTTTTTTAATTTTTTATCGAATTGATTTAATGAATGTTTCCGTGATGAACTGTTTCTATTCTCTATGTAGTGATACAGGTTTTTTTTCTATCTTGAATAGGCACAGAACCTTGCCTTCATCGTGTACAGCTCACCTTGGTACGACATGGTGAAGAACAACGCAGATATGATAAGGTTGGTAATAACCATCTCCACGAGACGTATTGAAGTAACAGCATACAGAGCACCTACTTTCCTCCTAAATAGGGAAACCTTCGCTAAAGTGAGTCATTTATCCTTAATAGTTCTATCAGATAAACTTCATATTATATTCAAATATATACCTACAATAATACACATGCATGTAAAAGTCTTTAAATATAATATCATCAGGTAAATATAGTTAATATTAATCACATAGTTCATATTGTTATTTATTTCAGTTCATAGTCACAGCCATATCAGCGTTCGTTACTTTATGTCAAATGAAAATGGTCTACGGATGAATCGGAGGGCTATGCTAATGAAGAAGAACTTGTCTGGCCACTGCATCGATAATAAATATGTTCTCATTATTCTTGTTTATTAGTCCATTCTTTACCATTTATCCAAATCAAGTATTTCCTCAGATCCATATTATAACAATTAATATATATTTTTTATCATTACTTTATCAGACATCAAAGAGGGACAAAGAAAGGCTATAAAACCTATAATAATAACTTAACATTATGTTCACTGGATTACTTGATGAACTATCTATCTGTATATATTAGTGTTGACTAAGATGAGTCTGTTATAAGACGAGACTGATATAAAACGAGACCGAGTCTCACTTGATCTTGCAGTTACCTAAAACTTTATCACTATGTAATAAATATGTTAATTTAGATCTTAGAAAAACGCTACAGAATAGACACATTTAGATGTTTTATTAACATAAACATAATAAAGTCCAACCGAATTAATAAAATTAACTAGACAATACATTAAAGGTATTGTCAAGAAAGAAAGTGGAAAAAAAAAACTCATTTTTTACATACGACCTATTGCACTAACAGTAGCGATATATATATATATATATATATATATATATATATATATATATATATATATATATATATATATATATATATATATATAATAATAATGATAAGGCTTAGCGAACCCGAAGGTTCGATGCCGACACCACCAATCGCTTGTTACACACCTCCCTCCACCGTTCGCCGTCCAAACCCAGTCTCTTCAGATCAGCTTTAATGCAATCTTCCCACCTTCGCTTCGGTCTACCCCTCGGACGCTTACCATTCGGCACAGCAAATATTAACCTTTTAGGAATTCTCTCGTTACTAAGCCCAACAACTTTACAAGCCCATTTGATTCGCCGCGATGAAATTACCTCAATTATATTACCCGGATACAGCTCACGCAATTCGGCGTTGTGTAACCGTCTGAACTCTCCGGTTAACTCATCCTTCTTCGGTCCGAATATTCTACGCAATACTTTATTTTCAAAAACCTTAAGACGCTGCTCATCCCTTAATGTAAGCGGCCAAGTTTCGCATCCATAAAGAACTGTAGGCAAGATAATTGTTTTATAGATTCTAATTTTTAAGTTTCGGGACAAGAGGCGCGAACTAAGTAGTTTTGTCACAGAAAAATAACAAGCATTTCCCGCCTTCAGTCTAACCTTAATCTCTTCTTCAATTTCGTTTTTTCTAGTTATCGTAGAACCTAGATACCTAAATTTATCTACCTGTTCAAACATATTACCATCTATATCGATATCACCAGTAGTATCGCCATTTTTGCAGCTAACCATATATTTTGTTTTATCCACGTTTATTTCGAGTCCTAGTTCTTTACCGGCTTTCATTAACGTTGTCGTATTTAGTTTTATAGTTTCAACGTCTTTGCTTAACAGTACCAGATCATCAGCATAGCCCAGCACGGATGTTGACCCGGCCAGATCCAACCTTTTCTCGGTTCGCATTACCTCCCTAATGGCATGTTCTAATGCCAAATTGAACAGGACAGGCGAAAGAGAATCCCCCTGTTTTAAGCTAGAAGAATATATATATATATATATATATATATATATATATATATATATATATATATATATATATATATATATATATATATTCTTATATATATAATATATATATATATTCTTTAAGAATATATATATATATATATAAAATAATAAATTCCCAATTCCATCTACCACTGTTCACATCATCTATACGCTGACGACTTCCAGATCCATTTATCCTTTCACGCCTCTGAGCTATTAGTTACGTTCGCCAATATTCAGGCTGTCCTATATAGGATCAGTGCACCGCCTAACTGGACTACTTTAAGGCAAAACGCGATGAAAACTCAGGCCATTGTTATAGGTTCCAGTTCTGTCCTTAACAAATTCCTTCCTTCCTCCTTTGGTCATCAACGATCATCCCATCACATTCAGCTCCTCCGTTAGAACCTAGGAATCACCAATGACAAAAACCTCTCCTGGAAACCACATATTACCCTGATCTCCAGAAGGTCAATAGGTATCCTTAAGTTATTTCATCGCTCCCGTCATCAACGCTAGTGCTGTAAAATTAGGAACTCAGAAATTGTTTATTACCCTACCCATAACAACTGGGTAAAAAAACCCAAAGAATTCCGCATCGGTTTTTGTTGGAGGAGGGGGAGAATATTGTTTGATCAAATAAACGGTTACGTTGTAAAAATATTTTTGAGATTATATTTATTATATTCCGACTTGAAGCAAAAACTGCTCCAAACCACGAAATTGATGTAGCTCATAGTAAATGATGCCAATTTGGAGTTTAATTCGTTTTTTAATTTTTTCAATTGTACAAATCATTATTAAAAATTTCTTTCTTCTGATGAGTATAAAAAATCATTGACAACAGAATTAGATTCGGTATCAATCAATGAGGAATTTCGTGATAATGGTATATAGTTTAGATTGGCATTAACGTCATATAATTGATAATGTGCTATATAAGATATTAAAGTTTACAAAAAGTTACCAATAACCATGGCCTGATTTTATACAGAGAACCAGGAAACTTAAGTTTGGTAATTTATATTTTAAGTTGAGTTTATATTTTCTCTAATTGAAATATTATCAGTACGTATTTTTTATACTCAATTAGGGATGAATCTCAACTTATTCTGTAACAAACCACAACTTAATTAATATAGATTTAAAGCTCATCGAACAAGGAAGTTTTTCTGAAAGTTCAGTCCAGTTGGGGAGTTATAAAAAAAGAATACTTGATTTTCTGAAAACCCGAACTTACCGTAGTTTAACTGCTTAAAAGTACTCTTTAAATGGCTTTAAAATAGACAATATTTACTTTATTCAATGTAAATTGAATCTAGTTTACTATGAAGTAATTGTTTGTAACCGAAATCGAACATTTTTTTAGTTACTCCTTTCTATTCAACATGTAACGTGGTTGGCTTAAAAATTACCAAACAAGTTTCCTGGTTCTCTGTATAAAATCAGGCCATGGTTATTGGTAACTTTTTATAAATTTTAATACCTTATATCACACATTATCTGTGAAAAATCATAGATTATATACCATTGCACTTGATTTCTCTAGTTTTCTGGTTTGGAACTTTCGCTCCGAAAATTTATAACCCCGTCAGAATGTGCCTCTCTAAAAACTTCAAAATCCTGTCAAAATGTAACCCCCTCAAAAATTTCGATAGCGCAACTTACGCCACGAAACCCCCTTCTGAGCACTCCTGCGGAGAACGATTTCCTTATGCTAATAAATAAGGATAACTACCCGTACTACGAATCTATTATATACGGGTGGAAAAAATTGTTGAGGGATGATTATTTCAACTTCCTCCAATGAATTAGAAGAATCCGAGAATAAGTGGTAATAGTATCGAGATACTTCTACCAAAATCCGTGTTGCGGATAGGCAAGGGATGAAGGAAAGAAATAAATAAGATGGAATGGACACAAACAAGAAACAAATAGAGAAACAACCGTCTTACACATAAGTATGTGTTTCCCATAATTCGTGAGTTTTCTAAACGTATTTTAAAATATTGCTATGAATATAGATGGCGCTGAGACAATAATGTTTTTGTAAATTAAATAAAACAATAATATTAATTGTAACCGAAAAATAAATTAATTAAATCACGTTTGTAAAACAATAGTTATTATTTTTTATTAACTACAGTTATCATTTTTTTAGTTTAGTTTCTTTTAATGAAAGTAATATTAACATAAATATTTTCAGTGTGTTAATGTTAGGTTGGTAGTACTGGCCTTTAAAGCTTATTCTTCATTGAAAAATTGCAACAATTATACTTTTGTGCTTCTTAAGTTATAATAAAGTATTTTTCCTTTACTAATTGGATTTTATAGGTAATCGTTTGTTTGAAAATTTCACCAAGTATAAATTAGATCATTTATACTGTTTTTAAATATTTATTGAAAATTATTATTAGAACGTTATTTACTAGTACAATTTTAATGTGAACATTTCTTGTTTATTAGTTACTCAAACAGTTTCAGTGCATGATCAAATTTACCCAAATCATTTTCTTACAGTCTGTTAACTTAAACAAATAGTTTAACTAAAAAAAAAAAAGTATGCATTTATGTATATATAATTGTTTTCATTTTAACTGTTGAAACTAACACTGTAATTATTGAATTTTGAACTATCATTGTTAATTAAACCATTGTCAAATGGTTATTAATTTTATTGTATATGAAATTTTTTTTATTTGCTCCTTCATAAATAATTTTATTTTCAGAACCTTGAATAGTCAGTTTTTACTGTTGAATTCTTTGACAACCATAAAAATATTTATTATTTAACAAGATGGAAAATAACGAACCAAATATGCATGCTTACACAGGTGTAATGATGAAAAAAGCACATTTAGATTGGGAAATGGAATGTCTCCAAACAAAAATAAAATGTAATATTTTCATACAAATTTTAATATCACACGTTTACATATTTTTTATTACTTATGACTTATTCACAAGTACTTATTTTCTAAAGGTAAAAATGAAGAAAATTCTAAATTGGAAAATCAGATATCTGAACGTAAAAATGAGTTAGAAAAATTGAGAAAAAGTGTCAACACATCTTGCGAAAGAGAAGAGAAAGTGAAAAATAATATTAATATGTAAGTTGGTAATAAGTAAGATTCAACCTAAATTCAAATTAATATTTCTAATATAAATAGTTATTTTTTTTATTGTACTAATACAATTATTTTTTAGCTCGGGTTGAATAATTAAGCATTGCACTAAAATTTTACGGTATATGGAAAAAATATTCCGAACCTCATCAATATTTCAGAAATATTAAATTTCAGTTATATATTTTCTGAGTATTTTTATTTACTTAATATAATTTTTTTTCATTTTGTTGTCGTACCATAACATTATTGGTATACAAGGTACTGGTATATAATTAATGAAATATAAACTGAAATATTTTTAAATTCGACTTTTATTGTCTCTCTCTTTCTTGTTTAATAATATCTAGTACATTAGTATGCTGTTTAAATTCCACAGTTGAGGAGCCATTCACTAGCCAATAGTAGTTTTTTTTTTTACTTTATTACTATAGTTTAATAACAACTTTTGCTTTTTGGTGAAGAAATATATATTTATGTCTTGTACTTCTTTTCTTATGTCATGGTAATAGTTATCCTGAATTTAATTTAAATAACTCAACGTTAAAACATTTTAATTATTTTCTAGTAAATAAACTTAAAGCTAGATTATTTTAATTCGGTCAATTCTTGGTCTATTTCTCCATTTGGGAAACTCGATTTGTTCTTTTCATGTTATTTTTTAAAAATCTAAATAAGTGGACTTGGTTACTATTTGTTTCTTAGTGACAGAACATTTTTATTTTAAACGTTTTATAAATTTTGTACAGTGGTCAATTAAGGTTAAAAATTTCCTTATTGCTTAAAAATAAATTAAAAGCCTTTTATTAATCATTTACATTATAATAGGCTGAGGAATTCAAGAACTATATCAGAGGGATTATTGATGTCCATGAAACATCAGCTAAGGACACTAGAAGAAAAGAGAAATGATACTAAAAATGTTCGAAAAAATATTCTAGAAAAATACTCAAAATTATTTGAATCTCATACCGTAAGACCTAAAAATTGATATTTCTCATTTATTTGTGACAAGCGTAAAAGCCTTTATTTAAATATTTTATCTGCTTCAGAAAATTTATTCGAATCTACCTTGGGTAAAGAAAATAAATGAACTTAAAACGTCTGTAAAAAGTAGACAAATTCATTTAGACATTTTGAAGATGGAATATTCATCGATTAAAAGAAAAAATTCTTTATTCCACAAAATTCAAGGTTTGATTACTTAGTATTAGAACCTCTATTGTTTTATATTCCCAATATTAATTTTTTTTATATATAGATAAGAGAAAATTGGTTGCCATAACACGGTTAGCTAAAAGTCTTGTAGCACGCAACAATTTGCAGAAAGAAGTAGAAGACCTTATCAGTAAACAAAAGTAATGACATTTAAAAAAAAATGAAATTTTTTAATATATACACATGAATTTTCAAGTCTCAATTTATAATTCGTAGGACGTTTCAGTCAAGAATAATATTATTAGAAGAAGAAAAAATTAAGTTCCAGGAAAAGATTGATCTTAAAGTAAAGGAAGCATTGGATGAGGCTAGAGGGAGAGTTGGTAAGATTTTTATCTTCAAAGGTAGGCAAGATATAGTAAGAGACTTGTGGAGTTACCGTAGTTAGATATTTAGTAACTTTTATGTTGGAGTTTGTTTCTAAGGACCAAAATTTTGATCCAACTGTCTATTCAAAGGATAAAGCTTAATCTAATTTGAAAGGTTCATGTAAGCAATTGTACAATTTTCAAGAATATTTTAAAACATTCATTACACTGTTATGGAATGTTTTAACAATCATTTTGTCAAGCAGTTTGATATACCTTTTGCAATATTTTAAAGCTTGCCAAAAAGAAAATTTTAGTGTCTATATTATTGCCACCATTACTCTATTTTAATTAAAATATTTCATCAATATTCTTAACTCGTGTTTATAAAAATTACAGTTAAAAAGCATGTAGGAGAAAGTATTGCTGAAAAACATACGATCGTTACAGCACCTTCAGATAAGGTATGTCTGTCCTTCAGTTATAAATGATCATCCTATATATAATTCATTCATTTCTAATTTCAATTTAATTTACTAATATTTTTTGTGAAGATAACATCGCTTGGAACTAATTTGAAACCAACAAATGAAAGCATATTTTCTCGTTTGGTAAGATTATTTGTTATTTTAAAAAATTTAAAATCATTATTATTATAGATCTATTCATTTATAATGGTAATCATAACATAGGCACATAAGACTATAAAGTTTTTCTATATTTTATAATTCATGTATAATACAATATAACTAACTTTTTATTATCATACATGGAATTATTCATTATGCATTCCGTGGCAGGGCCTGTCTGTTCTTCCTTCAATGAAACGTCTTTTAACACCCTCTTCAAGAGTTTTGAACAGAGTCAATAGCCTGATGGAAGAACAGTCAAAGAAGGATGTTTCAGGAACAGAGATCAGTGGAGTTCAAGAAAAGTCTTTAACATCAGAAGTACAAAAGGAAAAACAAACAATGGAAGAACAGGTAAGAGTTTTAGAACGTACGCATGTCTTGAAGGAAGATCATCCAAAGAAGAAGTATGTCCCAGTAACAGAAAAAATAAATAGAGCTGAAGATAAGTCTTTAATGCCAGAAGTAAAAAAGGACAAACAAATGATGGAAGGAAAGGTTAGTATTTTAATTTTCTATTTAATTAACCCCATTATCGTTACAGTAATGATGATATTCCTATATATATTATGTATGGCCACTGTTCATACTTGGTTCTTCATCAGAAGTATTACTTACAAGGAAGTTCCTGATTTTTAAATTTCAATGTATTTTTAAAAATTATGTAGTTAAATTTTATCTTTTCTTTTGAGGTAAATTTAATATATTTATCTGATTCTTTTAATTCATGATAATATTTCTCAGCATATAATATTGAAAAACTTGTTGAATAAAGATTTAATGGTCAAATATTTATAACGATACAATACAATGTTATCATTCTGTAATTATATAATATTTTAAAATAAAAAAATCATAATACATGTGGATATGTATTTTAAATTTTATGTTCTAAAATCTCTCTGTATCTCAGGCACTAAAACGGCCTTCAACTTCTTTGTCAAACGTATCAGAAAAAATACCTCATTTGATGGAAGTTACACAGAAGAATAAAACTCCTGCTGAAGAAAGTGTACATTTAGGTCAAGAAAAATGTCAACCTTCACCAAATAATGTAAATACTATTAGTAAAATTTAATTATGATTCTTATTTTATTAGAAACTATTTTAATTTGGCAAGGTGTAGGTGGCTGACTGCTAATGTGGATCATAATAAATGGATACTTGGTTATGAAACTCAGGAGAGTAGCATTAGTATGGAGAGAGGCAAATAAATAATAGGAAAAAAAAATCAAATTATGAGACAAAAGGTTTTTGTCAATACCGAGACCAAAAAAAAGATCTCTATGTTGAACTAACAATTTCAAAAGCTAAAACTCATTGTGAGCAGAGAAAATTTGTTGTGATCTCAAAGGAGTTATTCCACAAAACTTGACTACCTCCACAAATTAAAAATTCTGAGTACTATTAAAAAATGTTTAGATCAAGTTAATGAAAATATACTTATAGCAATGACCCATATGGAGTAATGCACTGTTCCTCTACAATGACAGATCACATACAGTAGCCAAAATTATGAAATAGTATGTTTTATTTCTGATACACTTAAGGGTACAAACTTGATCAGGTAAATGGACAAAGACGGTCACTATGAAGACAAATGATATATTTTTGTAGAGACTTCATCTTGCATTAAAAATAATAAAAAATATATATTTTAGAATCACCATGTATTTTAACTTCTCAAGACATTTTCCATATTGAACAGTAAGCAATTATATGAGTACTGTCCTAAATTTCTTTGAATTTCGTCAAGCCCTAAATTCAATTCATTTACTTCGTAAACACATCAACTGTTATTATTTAAATACATTTGTTTGCTACTATTTCAGAAAATGCTTTTTTTTTTTTTTAGGGATGCGTGTCTAATAATGAGAAATCAGAAATAACGCAACAAGCGACAGCCTCTGAACCTACCAGTGCTAGTAAGTTAACAATACTGACTGAAGAAACTGAAAACAAAAGGAATACTAACCAAAATGTTGACAAAAATTTGAAGAATAAAGAAAAGAAGGATTCAAATTCAGAATCGGCACTATCTGTTCAAATATCAGAAAACCCGAAGAGCAATATTCCTGGAAATGATCAAAATGGTATAGTTTTCTCAAGTATTTCCAAAATAATTTCAACATAGCTTGGGAACGATTTTTTGAAATGTTTACTTTTTGATGACACCAAGTCCTTCAAGAACAGATAATATCCAAAATATGAATCCCAAATCTGAGGAACAATTTTTTTTTTAATTCCATTTTTAAAAATACTTATATCAAATATATCTTCCCTTCCCAAAATGAATATATTAATTAAAAATAATTGAACCAGCATATAGGTACTCTAATTAATTTATAAAAGTCATAACAGAGAATAATTGATTGCTAAAGCTTATTAAATTACCTTTTTTTGGTATTAATGATTGTGTAGTTAATATCCAACTAATTTTTGGTGTTATCAAATAGAATTGCATCTCTGCCCTAGGCTTCTTTCATTTTTTTTTTTTTGTAATTCAGAATTTTCTTGACAAAGAACTATTAGACAAGCCAATAATTTAAGTATATTGAGTATTTTTAATCCAAATTTAAATTTTATGAAGAATTACAGCTTTTATTTTTTCAAAAATATACTAACCATAATAATATTAATATACTAAGTAATATGTATGGTTATTTTTAGCAGTTATGCCTGAAGAATCGTTAAGAGATGATGATAATGAACTAAGAAGTAATATTCCTGAAAAACATGTTACATTTGTCAACCCTTCACAAGAAATACCAACTGAAAAGGAGAATACAGCCACAAATGAGACATGTGGAACCTCCAGAAAAAGCATCACAGGAAAGAAGTATAACAAATGAAGCAGAAATGAATGATTCTAACTTATCAATGCTTGGTATGTTTAAAAATCAGCTAAATACTTAAAATATACTAATATTCGATTACTCACATTAGAACATTCGATGAATCATGCTAGAACAACCTTCATATTAGTTTATTACTCCAATGGGCCGTTTATCCTAATAATATATTACTAAGGCAGCATATGAAATTTTTGAAAGAGCTTATTATAGAAAAAATATGTATCTTTTATTTTAACACTTCATATTTTTTAGTATGTAAATATTATTTTTATTAATGTGCTATACAACCAGTGTTAAATTCTGGATTCTTTATGGGGAACTGCCAATCTGCTCTATTTTCGGTCACCCACTTTCCATTTATTGATGTAATGAGTAAATATATTAGTATGTCATATTACTTCTAATACATTTACTTCTTAAACCAACTTTTTTTTATTTATTTATTTTTAATTCATTTATTTCAAACGAAAGCTAAATTGTTATGTATATTTAATCTGTATAAATTTCATTTTATTTTGGAATAATTCAGGAATTGTTTTCATAATTTTATCTGAACTTTTTATTATTTATCTCTGAAAGTTTAAACTTGCAGCCAAAACAACAATCTGACTTAGAGATCACACTTATGTTATAAACAAGGCCCAGATTTTTATGCAATTACATATTTTGTTTGTATGCAGTTTTTAAACTGCTGATCAAATATCTATACGAATCAGTGTATCTAGATGGGATTAGTCAAATTTTATGTTATATATTTTGATTATTTCAAATAAATTAAATAATAATAATAAAAATTAATGAATTAAAATGGAAAATTGTTGATGGAATTCTGTAATACCATTGTAGGCTGCTTTTCAATTAATAAATAACAACAAAATAACACTACCTTCAGTAATTGATTCCTTGAAATATGTATTTTTTCATTTCCTTTTTGTTTTTTTAATCTTCCCTTTTCTTTCCGTTCAACTTCTAAACAGTTTTAATGTCATACTTTTTTTACAAATGGTTATATTTTATATACTTTTAAGTGCATCGTTTTCTTCAAAATTGGAATGTTGGATCTACTTCGTAAATCTAAAGATCAAACGGTTATTAAAACTCATTGAAAGGTTCGTTTTTACATCTATTGTTCAAAACAAGTTTCTATTGAAAACAAGTCAATAATTTTCAGTGGATATAAATTAGCTTCTATCACATTCTATCTGTTATAGATAGGTCATTTCCTTATTATGAAAATATTTCAAACGGTACAAGATTAGGTTTTCAGAAACAAATTTAGAATTTTAATAATACATTTTGATCAAATCGCATCACTTACTAATTTCTCATCCATTGGTGTTTTATTTATTTTGTTCATGGTGTCAGTTCCTTTATTAGTTAAAAACATTGTAAGTTTTCTTGTATTACTAATTGTAAATTGTATTGTTTTATCTTTAATAAGTATCTCACATTGTTTTTAATTATCCGTTAATTTGTGTTTTAACTATTTTCATATTCATTTACATATTCTTTTTAATTTGTTTTTTAAATATAGTTAATTAGTTATGAGTTTTAAATACAATTGTCAATAGCTGTTTTTATTTGTTGCTAATTGGAACTTAGTAATACTTTGGTATTTTAGTTCTTTAAAAGTATTCATATTATTTTGCTAACCATTAATAAATATATATTTTTATTTGCTACGTTATGATTTAATTATTTCGGTTTATACAAATAAAAAGATGAAATCATTTTTAATCCTTCTTCTGTTTTCTTTAATTCAAAACGTTTTGTGGAAACATTCATATAATTGAGTCTTTTTAGATGTTTTATTGTATATTTAGAGATTTTCTTGATGTTATATTTCATTACTCCATGTTTTGTGGGGTTTCACTGCATAAAAATCCAGACCCTGGCTATAAATTTACAATGAAAAATAATGTTTTTTTTTCAGAAAAAAATACATTTTATTTTAAAATACTTAAAATTAAATTTATATTGTTAAAAACTTGTTTTCTTTTTATTTTTAAGATAATATTTCTGTGGTATCGTCTACATTCACCAATGAGATTAGAAATCAGATGACTAAATCTCCTGATTTCTTGAATCAGGTAACTACTATTACCTAATTCTATCCATATGATGCTTCTGTTATTCAAAAAAGATATACAAGATATCTCAGAAAAATGTAACTAATCAAAGATTTTTTATTTTCACCTGTTACAGATTCCTCAAGGATATTGTTTCAGCCCACTTTATAGTCCCTCAAAAGCAGACAATATTTCTGAGGTTTCTTCTGTTAAAGGTAACGAAGGATTTAATATAATAAACTCTCTAATTTGCGATTCCTTTGTATACACTTTATGGTCTAATAATACAAATACAGTAATATACAATATAATACAATATATAAAATACTAAGGAGGGAAATATTTTGAATACTAATGAATAATTTTTACTTTTGTTTCTTTATGTATATTTATATAGTATTTGTTTACATTTATGTAGTATAATTGTCATTGCATTTTCAAGTAATGTTCAAACTCTTGCTTTTAATTGCTAATTTTAAAACAAAATGAAATAACAGTGATGTCATCCAGAAATAAAGAGATAATAGAATCAAGGCCATTAAGACCAATATTAGAAAGATCGCGGGTGGGATAAACGCTGATTGTATGCCCAGACATCTGGTTAAAAAACCGGCCATTGAAGGTGAAGTATCTGGGTCTACAACAAAGTTTGAGGTAGGAGAGAAGGTCGAGGATGGAGTGAGGTTCAATAGTCGTGTAGTTTTTTTCCATAATACAGAATACTTTTTCAATGAATATGTTGGTAAAAAAGCTTTCTTCATCAAAGGAAGTTTAAATAAAATTATCAGGAACACAGAAGGACATCAATTGTTCTTGAAGTCAGAGGTGCCTCTCCTCTCCCACCCAAGGTCGATGGTGCATGATTCTCCTACCCCTCCTCCTAAGATTTCCCTTCTCTTCTTAAAAACAGTACAAGCTAAGGTAAAATGTTAAAAAAAGTCTTATAGAATTACAATCTTATACAATTAAGTATAAGTACAGTCTGTACTATGCTTTTCTCTTGTCCACTTGTATGAAACTTTTCAATCCGAAAACTCATAACCCCGTCGAAATGTAGCCCTCAAAAATTTTTTGGGCAAAAAAAATGGCTCGACTTGCAATCCAAGTGGCGCAATCCTCCTTGTGGGCACCCTCCCCCTTCCCTGCCACCCTTGCTTGAAATTGAAGAATATTATTGATATCATAAGGGTTAATATGGCCGAGTATTTTTATGAATGGAAGAAGCCATTTACTAAGCTTACAGGAAGGGACAGTAATATTAGAAATAATGGGATGGAGGGGATTTCCAGATTTGTGGATTTTAAGTAGCCCGCAGAAATGACATTCAGACAAAAATTTCCTCCAATTGATATCCTTTTATAAGGATGGCCAAACAGGCTAACACGTGTATAAAATACACATTGCCTGGCAGCTTGATAAACCAAAGATTACAAGTTCGAATTTCAGTACCCAGGAGACTTTTTGCCGTAGTTAATCTCCTGCCCTCCTCCCTGACGAGAGAAAAAAAATCCTTCCATATTCCTGACAACTTCATGTTATTTTCCTTGATACAGAAAGTTTTTTTATAAACATTCCCATTTACAAAGTATTCCATATTGTAGAAAAAAAGTGGGCTACTAATGAACCTCACACCATCCTCAACCTTCCCTCATACTTCAAACATTGTTGCATATACAGATACGTCACTTTCAATGACCAGTTATTTCAACCAGTTTTCCGGGCTTACGATGGAAGATTTCCTCAACCTTGACCTTTTAAATATTGTTCTCCTAGATTTTAATGTCATAAATAATGTCTCTTAATTCCCGGATGACATAATTTTTCTTAGAAAATATGCTAATGACCCATCCTGTTCTCTCAAATAAAGTAAAATTTCAATATTTTGCGATATTATAAGCCTTAACACTTCTGGACCTACATCAAGGGTACATCAGTATTGTTAAGTGTTTTTTATTAATGATACGACAGTAAAACAAAGTTTGCTTTATTGCTTGCTCACCTAATGACTTTTATTTACTATTAGAAATATATATGTTCATTGCCCACCGTTATTCATAACATGTTGAAACAAGGTCACCCTAGGAAAATTGACTATAATAAATTCAGGGAAGGAGTTAGTCGAGGGTGCGGTCAAATAAATAAAAAATTAAAATATATTAATTATTTTAATTTTTGCCGACCTTTCGACCCACTTTGCAGGTCGTCTTCAGGGCGTAGGATGTGGCACTGCGGGAGGCAGTGCTCGACAGTGTTTCAACACAGTGAAACACAGTGTTTCAACTGCCTCCCGCAGTGCCACATCCTACGCCCTGAAGACGACCTGCAAAGTGGGTCGAAACGTCGGCAAAAATTAAAATAATTAATATATTTTAATTTTTTATTTATTTGACCGCACCCTCGACTAACTCCTTCTCATATTATATCAACGGTCAACCATCTCTACATCATTATGAATGCATTACCAGTGTTTCAACTGCCTCCTGCAGTTCCACATCCTACGCCCTGAAGACGACCTGCAAAGTGGGTCGAAACGTCGGCAAAAATTAAAATAATTAATATATTTTAATTTTTTATTTATTTGACCGCACCCTCGACTAACTCTTTCTCATATTATATCAACGGTCAACCATCTCTACATCATTATAATAAATTCAGTTTAATTGATTTCTAAATATCTTTTCAAGGTACAAAATCACCTTCTAACAATTTCCCAGCTACATCAATTGCTTCTCCTCTTTTTTCTATGGAGGCTCAGCCTACAGCCGGTAAGCTTCACATATTTCAATTTACATTTCAGGAAAAAAAAAATGTGACACTTCACTTTCAGATTAATAGCAATTATTTAAACAGCTGCTATATTTTGCATGGTACTGTTAATACTTTATCCTTTTCTTAAAAAATTGTGATTTCTTAAAAATCATCATTTATAAAAATATCTTAAAATATATTTTATACCATTGCTATCTCGTCAAATTCTTTAATTGTGCGTTTTAGAACAAAGACAAGAATTATTCTAAGAAAAAATAATACAACAAAGTTCTTATAGAAGTGAATTCGGGACACACACCGAGCAGTCAAAATTTCATTAAACTGATAAATTTAAAATATTTGAATAGAATTCAAGTGCCCTATTTTTTTTTCTTACTCAAAAAAGAATGTCACTAAATTTTTTATGGTGATAATGCACTGAAAAATATTTGATGTATGTTCCAGTCTGGCGTTTGCTCTAATGGGTCCTAGAAGCCAAGAAAAGAAATACTTTATATAATTTCAAACAAAATTTAAGTTATTTATTTTTGCCTTAGCTTTTTCCAGATTTTTAGGTTATTATATATCAATCAAATTCTTCTTTATATATATATATATATATATATATATATATATATATATATATATATATATATATATATATATATATATATATATAAAAGAATTTATCAAAATTTGTGTGGTTAACAAAATTTTGAAGGGTCCACGTCCACATAGCAAAATTTTATATTTTTCATTCACTATAAAAACTTCTATTTAAGGATTTTTTCAGTATGTGAAAAACAAATATCAACTTAAAAGAATATCATGGTTGTACTAATGTGTTATTTTATGTTTGTTATAATTTATTGTTTCTTTTATAGGACCTTCATCAGATTTTTCAAGTTTTTTTGGCACTTCTTCTCCCAAGAAAAGTGAAAATTCATCCAAAAATTTTTTCCAGCTCTTTGGTTGACTTTGGATCAAACATGAAAATATGATGTTTAACTTACAAGTAGATTTGAACCGTATTTATTTGTTTTTAAATTTCTAATAATTAATTATGTTTCTGTTGATTGTTCACTTAGGGTTACAAAAGTATCAATTTTACAATTTACTTTAATGTCATATTTAAAAGTATCAAGTATATTGTATTTTTATATTTTATTAAAATAAACTTAACTTTTTTTTTAATATTGGTATTCATGAAGTGGTATGGACTAAACTGATGAACTTTTATATGATGATAAAAATTGTAACATATTTGATTCTAATAGAAAAAATATCATTTTGTTGGAAAATAATCCAACAATTATCTCTCCATTAAAGGAAAGGCCTGAGAATCGAGTCATTGAGTCGCCACTCAAAAAGCTGTTTTGTGGCCAACTGGAGGTAATTTTTTGCAACAACAATGTCAGTCATTTGGGCCAAATCCATAATGATAAAATTTAACAGTTACTGAGCCCATCTCCAAAGCAGATAACCAAGAGTGCAGATCTCCATTCTGGAATTTTCAATTGAGACTTTTTGAGAACTGGATCACTTTGCCTGATTCATTAATTACTTGATCTCAATGAAAGAAAAATAGTGAATAAATGACAAGAAAATTATCCTTCTCAAAATGTCGTCTTATCGTGTACCTTCATCATAAGTGTCTAAACAGATTTACATTGAGTTTTCTTTTCTGTTTCTACACAATTTTAAACTTATCATCAATATATTTTCTTCATTTACTGCGCCTTACACCTACCTTGAATTATATCTGTCAAAAGATATAATAAATATCTGCAGAATTATTAATTGTTGTGTTTCAATTTAAGAATGGATTTTACTGGATTGATGGATACTTTATTTTACTAAAACCAGTTACATTTACAGATAAACCAAAACTAATGTTTTTAGCTTATTTTTTAATTATAATCTAAATAGAAATTCAAGCACCAAAATTCACAATCTAAATAGAGCTTGGAATTCGAAATTTTAATTCTGCATTTATAAGTTGATATGTAGTAGAAATGTAGTGTAATTTGCCATTGACTTGGAAAAAAAAAAAAAACCTTTATTTCTTAACAGTTTTATTACTGAATACCAATGTTTGAGACAGTAGATACAATTATGGTTTCCTTTAAAGCGTTATAAAATTTTCACGACTTTAAGACTAGTTCAATAATTTCAAACATGGCTTAATGTTGTAATCGTTACTTGATCAAGTAGAAGAGGCTTCAGAGAAACATTTTCATTTTATCTAGTTATTTGTTACATTTAACTTATAGTTGACGTTTCGGGTTCCATTTTTCCATCATTAGAATTATCCTTGCAATTCATTTATGTAAATTTCCATTGTCTTTTCATCTTATTTTTTACATTCCATCAAAGGTGTTATTATTCAGAGCTCATATCACCTGATTAACTATCTATAAGATGTCCAGTTGTTAATCAGGTGATGTGGTGGCTATGGATAATACCTTTGATGGAAAGTATAAAATAAGAGGAAAGAGCACACATGAAAATTTATATAAGTGAATTGCAAGTATAGTTCTTATTATGAGAAAATGGAACCCAAAACGTTAACTATAAGTTAAATGTAACAAATACGAAATTTGTTTGCATTGATGGAAATTTTTATAGCCAATCTCTGAATGAAACTCTTCCATTAATGTTAGAAATAAAAATTTATTTACATCTATACAAGAGTAATAATTTAAAATTTAATGCTTTTTCTTTTTATGTTTTGACTTGTGTCTGTGATGATTAGATACATCAGAGCTGTGTGATCGACTTCTCTTTTTCTTCTTATAATGCCTGTCTTCATAGTTGGGAGAAGAGTTTCTATCCAAATCATTCTTCTTTTCTCTTTCCCGATACTTAACCTTGTCTTCCTCTTTTCTTCTCCTATCTTTCTTGTGCTTTTTCCTTTCTTTTTCTTCTTCATATCTAGAGCTTTCTTTTCGATCAGGAGAATGTCTTTTATGACTGTTATACCCAGACCTCTGTGCTCTAGCCTGGTGATCGGATTGTTTTTTATCACCCTCTGTTTTTTCCAGAATATTCAACCAAGCCAGATGAGGGTTACCTTGAGGTGGTTGTATTGCAATTAGTTCCTGAGCCTGACTCAGAGATGGTTGAAGTCTATCATTGGCAGATACTGCTGAGTCATCTCCGTTCACTCCTGTTATGGTTAACATCTGCTCTTCTAAAACTTCTCTCAGCACCTAAGCAAAGGAAATAATTTTGAATACACACTGAAAGGGGTAATTATTTTCTAGCCCAGTTAGATAAACAAATAACAAAATAAATGTTAAAAATACAATTTATTAGTTTGGATGTACTTAGAAGAACTTTACCTAAACAACATACAGAATCTCTACCATTTAGTTCACTATGAAAACATTTTTAATGAACAAGTTTTCTATTGATAAATATTTTACCATGAAATAAAAAACTTCATAATAATAGTGTTAAATTGAAATTATTTTTTAAATCATGGTTTATAAAAACAAAATGATACATTTCAAAGATAAAAATCTGAGTTAAATAATGTTATTACCAATAATTAAATTTAAATTAGGTAATCACTTTTACTTTTAGTAACCTTTAAGTTCTATCTAATTTCATAAGCTGTGTATTAATTATTAATCTGATCTACTATACTATACATACAACACTATACTATACTATACTATATATAATGGTAGTATATATTTCATTTCTACGTATCAGAAACACGATGCCAAAAGACAGGGAATTTCATTGAGAAGTGACAAATCCAAATTTTGTGTTCAAAAGACATTGACGCTGACATCAAGACCCAGCTAAGTTCCTTTTGAATGTGCCAGACTCGGCGTTTTAAATCAAGAATTCTCTTCTTCTATACCAACCAATTGATCTCATCATGTACAATACTGGGTTAATAAAAGTATACAGATAGCTGAGCACCTGGCGTAAGGTTTGAAAGATAATTTAATACGACACCTAATAAGGACTGCTCAGAAAATAGGGTGGCCCTAGCCTTGAATGGCCTCAGTCATTCAAGGGGTGAATTTCGGATACCCAGCAACAATGAACATTATCATAAATGGAGTGATGCTGGGTATCTGTCTTCTGTGTGTTCCCAGAACCTCTAACACTAGCAGAAGAGCAGGTTGGCAATGATACAACAGATGGCTCTGGTATGAACCATTAAGCCATACCGAAGTGTTTCTCAGAAGGCAGTGCATATTTTAGTAAGAGGGGTACCTCTCGACCTTATCCTGCAAGAAGATTCATTGAAAATGATATTCAAAAGTGGAGGCTCATCAGGTCTTCGGAAGGATAGTATGAGTGAAAGCAGTTTAGCATTGGGTAGAACTAGTCTAGAATTATATTTACAATGTCTATTTTTATTTTAATCAAATTATTATAATAATGAACAGTGTGATCAGAAAATTGTATGGTATTAAATGGTTTATTACAAACCAGTAAAAAAAAAGAGGTATAATCCAAATGAAGCTTTCAAACTTACCTCAGTGTGAGATTTATTCTTAGTGTGCACTTTGTTTTTATAGCTGATCCTTCTTCTTTTCGCATCTCTTTCCATTTTCAACAGCTGAATCAATGCTGCTGCTTTGTCTTCAGTTTTAACATCCTTCTTGTCAGTTTTTCTGAAACAAATTGTGTGTATATATATATGTGTGTGTGTGAGTATGTGTATAGGGAATGCGCAGTTATTTAATTTGCAAAACCAATGTAATAAACCAACAACGTAACATATCATTGAAATTCATTGACATTTTAGGAAAAACAGTAAATTTTTTTGGAAGAATATTTTAAATACTCCTTTCTACAAAGGTTGGTTAATTACTCTAAACTTTAAATTATGATAATTTTTCAAAGTTAAAAATTCAGTTTTACAGTCTAAAATAGGAATAAAAAAAGAATCATTGAATTCAACATGTAACATTGCAAGTCCTTTCCTTTAGCTCTTCATTGGTTGTTCTTACAATAATCCGGTCAAGGAAACATAAACAACTACTGATATCTACTAAAATAAACTTGTGTCTCGATATCACTTGAAAGAGGCAAGGTATAAGGAATCAGTTGCAGTAAACATTCATCAGCACTTGAGAAGGACTATTTCGATTTTTATGAAACCTGATATACACATTTCTTGTAAGTCTACAAATGATTCATTAAGTGTAAATTATAGCTCTCATTTTCAGGGAAATCATCAGTCTAGAACAATTTAGTGATTCATTCTTATAAAACTGTGTAAAAAAAAAAGAAAACTGTAATTTAGCCACAAGCCATATCTGCTAGACTTCAAGTAGAAATTGAGCAACACTTAAGAACATAGGTCAGATTTTTTTTCTCCATATTTTTTTAGAATTTCACACATGTTATTTCTAAGAAAACTCTTATAATGTTTATATCTGAATGAATATTAACCATTAATTCAATTGTAATTCTGTAAGTTCTATGCAATTTGATTAATTAACCAAAACAATATTTTTCACACCATCTGAAGTCATTTTACTTTTGGAAACCTTTGTAATAAGAAATAAAAAATAAAAAGAGTATAGAAGAAACTTACATTGGTCGATATTAAACATATCGACAGTATTTACCAGTAATTCAAATTATAAAGTTCTATGTAACTTGATTAATTAACCAAAACAGTATTTGTCAAACCATCTTAAGTCATTTTACTTTTGGAAACCTTTGTTATAAGAAATAAAATAAAAAAAAAGAAAATAGAAGAAACTTACATTGGTTGATCATTGACTAATAGAGATGCCACTATATCATTGTAGAGATGATCGTCTCCACCTGACTCATTGTTAAGGCCTAGGCATAATTTAAAAGGACAACAGGAATATAATAATAGCACTATTAATCAAACTTTTTAAGAAAATATAAAACAGTAATAGTAAAATAAAAGTATATTAATAAAGGATATTGTTTGCTGTAAAAAGGATATAGTTCGAAGAGGATTTCCGTAATGCATATCCAAAATGTAAACTTGACCTATAAGAAATACACCAGCAATTATTAGGTATTATTTTCATCATTCTGTAATATTAAGGAATTATTTCATTCAATTTTTTAATGTAATGACTATCCATTATAAAATAAACGGGATGATTAAACTTTCAATAAACAAAACATACTCTGATTAATAAAAATATTAGATGTAGATATTTAAAAGATCTAAAATTAAAACTGCGAAGTGCATGAAGTACATGAGAACTGAAAATCTTTCACTAACCAGGACTGTTAAAAATAGATTATTTACAGAAAGTAAATTAATAAAAACATAAATCAACTTTATGTTTTGTTAGAAAAATATTGACACACATAGAATATTTATCAATATCATTAAAAAAAATATGTACATACTTATACAGACACTTATACAGCTGCTAGACATTTATTCATAAATGGCTTATATTTTAGAATCACCGTCCTATTAAATATTATCAACCCACAATTAAATTAAATTTTTAATTTAAAAAAAAGTAAGATGGATACTGCTAAAGCACTGGAGGAGGAACAAGTGAGACGAGCCTGATGAGGGCCATACTTAGTTTGTATAAAAAAACAAAGAAATGTGGTGAGAACTAATAAATATTTATGTAAGGTACAGAGCACCAAAGGAATAAGTCCTACCTTGGGGTCTCAACTTTGTTTTTATTCACCATTTGAATTCTATCCAATTTAAAAGTTCTATTAAATTTCCTAAAATAAGCATTAATAAAACAATTAAATCACTTTTCATCTTTTTTCCAAACAATTTTTTTTTTTCTGTTGTCATAACAGACTATGTAGATCTTTTGCCGCTTTAACAAGCCTGCTCCATCTCTGCCTGTCTTGGGTTATTTCTTTGTATTTATCTGCATGCAGCTCTATTGCATCTTTGTTGATTCTATCTATCCATCTGCTTTTTGGCCTTCTATTGAGGCATTCATTGTTACGTAGAGGCTTCCAGGTGGACTGCTACGAGCTAGATGTCCTGCCCATCTTAACCTACGTAACTTCACATCATTGGATACTAATTGACCAGTTTCTGTAAGCAGTTCTTTATTGGTCTTTCTTCTCCATGTGTTAGTATTCTGATCCCAGATCGCGCCGGTGATCGTGCGGAGGATTTTTCTCTCAAATCTTTCAACCCTTTTTTCTATGGTGCAGGTTAGTGTCCAGGACTCACAGCCATATATTATCATAACATTGTACACACTTAATTTGAGATTTTTTAAGATTTCAATAATTCCCTTTGAAAGGGAGAAGAAAGCTCTGTTTGTGCTAGTTATACGCTGGTCTACTTCTACCCATTGGTCATTCATTGAGTTTATTGTGAAGCAGAGGTGTTCGAATTTTTCTACTCTCGGGAATGATTTTCCTTTTACGGAGATCCTGTTATTGGGGTGGAATTTTTGGCTTATTATCATATATTTTGTTTTGTGTTCATTTACTTATTGGCCGATCTGCTCTGCCTCTCTTATCAGAGTTGTAGCGAGTTTCTCAATGTCCTCTTGATTACTTCCAAGGACAGCTACATAATCTGCGTATTCAAGGATTTTATGGTTCATTCCGACATAGACTGTCCATTTTCCTGTGATACGAACATTTAAACGAAATTTGAAACTGTTTTTTGAAGAAATCCTATCACTTCATGACAATCTAGTACCAAAACTGTAAAATTAAAATTAAAAAAATTGAAAAATGGACGACTATTTTTGCAATTTTTACACTTCATATAAAGCTAGCAACATATCTTAATAATGCTAGCAAAAAAGTTAACAGAATTCTCAATAGAAGATTCGACTGAATAAAATTTAAATAATAAATATTAAACCATAGATAAAATTTTTACTGACATTTGTAATACGCCACAGTATATTTATTAACTAACTCCTGAGTTGCAATATTCTAAAACATTTTAATTGATAATGTTTCTAAAAAAGTATTTATCAAGAACTATGATGTTTTTATGATAAAACTACCTATTCTCCAATTTTGACTATTGCCCAACAATAATTTTTGAAAATCTGCTTTTTCATCACCAATCCATTCTTCATAAGGCATTTAGTTTCCCCATTCTTCCTTGAATTGTGTCATATTCAGTAGTCCATTTCATAAAATTCATTTGTTTTCCAAGTTTATATAAATGTATATTTATATTGTTCATTAGCCATCTATGAATATTTTGCAATTCAGGAGCCAGTACTCATGGTAATATCTTCGGTATAAAAATCTTTATTTCTGTAAGAAATAAACTTAAAATATTTTGATCATATAAAATAGTGGGTGGGGTGGACGAGCATGTTGGGGCGTAGGTCCCAGAGTGCTCGGTTCTGAACGTTGTGGATTCTATTCTCACCTGGGTCAGTTACTTTTCATTTCTCGGCAGCCCTGAGAAATGGAGCTATACCAGAAATGGAGAAATTCCCACTCTGGAAAGTTCGTGGCATCAACCTCAAGGTAGCCGTCAGAGGCTGGCAAAAATGTCCACTTGCCAGACTAGTTCCCTCCACCAGTAGCAATAGCAGTACCAGTATCATATAAAATAACACTGCTAATACACTACAATGAATATGCCATTGACAATATGGTACTTAAATATACTTGGTAACATGAACCAAATTATCAATTTACTCTATTGAGCTGAAACAGTAATTTGTTTATAGAAATAAATTACCTTCAAGAGTTCCATCTATTGTATGTGAGATATTATGATCAGCAACTAAAACATAAACAGGCTTGTAAATATACTATTACAACTTTTAAAAAAAATAGTAGAAATGAAGAATTACCTGGCACATCTTGCACTGGATTCTGAAAAGATCCAACTTCCTGTAAAATATTTAAACATGTTAACTTGCAAAATAAAATTCTTGATCGAAAATTAAGTTACAACTAGTAATTACAAAATTGGTTGCTTACCTTAACAGACAGGAGAGATTGTTTAGTCCAATTTATTGTGTTAAGTACATTATTTAAACTGTTTTTAGAGACATTTAAAAAATTATTAAGTTCATCAATATATGCACTCCTAGTTTGGTACATTTTAAAGGATAACTCATAATTAATATCCCTTAAAAAACCATGAACTACTTCAAAAATTAGAAAAACAATAACATCTGCCAAAGAGGTCGTTGCTTTGTAATAATAAGTAAGTATAAAATAAATTGTATAAGTAACATTTTGAGAACTGGATTACGTTAATTCAAAGTTTAAACATAAACAGATTATTTACTTTATACATTATGATTTTTATAAAGACAAATTAGCAACGACAGAAGGATAATACTCTATTTTTCCTCAATGAAAAAGTGAAGCAAAAGTAATGGAAAATTGACCACGCTTCTGGAACACAGGTAATACACACATCTGTAGATAATTTCCTCCTTTTGTGATTATCTGCATAACCGTTCATTAAATCGCAAATATCTAAATAACATAAAATGTAGAGTATACAATTTTCAATAATTTGGCTTATCAATAATGAAAATCCATAGAGTTCTATCTATTTCTCAAACTTATACATCCAAGGTAAATTTTAAGGATCTCAAAGCATATTTAAAATAAATTGATGCAGTTTGGAATCGAATCTGCAACGTTCAGAACTGGACACTCTACGACATAGGGACCCAACGTTCTCGGCCATCCTGCCCTCATGGAAATAAAGTAAATGAAAAAAGTGATTTAATATATTATGTGAATTTCTTATCCCAAGATGTTTTTGAAACTTCTACATACTACTTAACTTCTACATGAGCCACATTTAGACCTTCACCAAGTACCGAGGGCCGCATTTAGGCTTCCATCTAATTGTAAGTCTCGTGAGCCATGAATTATGAAAAAAAAAAATCTTGTTCTATAATGGAGATTTAATTTTGAAATAAGCTTTCTAAGAGAAACAATTCGTCCTCCGTAGATCCGCCTGTGCCTCAGACGGTGAATATATTCGATATTGACTCAATAATATTGACCATGTAATGTGGGCTTAATATATATTCGCCCGATAATTTTTTGCTTCGCCATTCCCAAAATGCCTACATATCTTCATCTCTGGTTGGTAAAAATTATAATTTAATTTATATTGAATTAAAAGATCAAGAATCAATTAAATTTAAGTTGGAAATAAACAAAAGTAATTTACTGGCGTTGATGACTTTAGAGTTTTAAGCCTTTAAAGCCCCAACAAACAAGCAAGAATAAATTATTTTCTTTAATATGCAAATGACAAATTTTCGTCATTTGGCTGTTGTTGATTGTTAGCGAAATGACGGATATTCTTCATGCGGACAAATACGTGTTACAAAACCTATCTGAAATTAAAAACCACTTAAAAATACATTGACCTTATGAGTTTAATCAAAATCATTAGAGGGGTTTTTGAGAAATATATAAAACAAATTAAATAAAGAGGCACTTCCGGGTGACCGAATTTGACGAAAACGTCGCAACATGCTAGTCACTATCGAATCAAGGAATTAATTTGGGGGGAGGAGCTTTAGCCTGAAAGCTTTTTTTTTATCTATATATAACGATAATTACTTCGAAAGAAAGAGAAAGAAACTAACTGCCTACAAGAATAACGTTTAAGTGATTTTCGAAGTGCTATTAAATGTAATTAACGAATAATAATACTTTTTGTACATAATTTTTTTCGTAAGGCATAGATATATTTCACCATTTTGGAGGAAGGGAGGGCTTCCGCCTAAGTCTAAGGAAGGTCAAAAATTAAAAAAAAAATCTGTGCATACAGATTTCCTATTTTATTTATTACATTTTTTTAAACCTTCAAGAACCACTTAAATATTACTTTATATAGTTTTATTTTTCTTCCAAATAATTACCGTAGTAAAGAAATAAAACAGAATAGAAAAACCAAGCCTCCAAAATTAAATCTTGGATTCTCTACTGCCAGGTTGGCTGTGCATTTTTACCTAAAATCAAAATTTTCTCCTTACTCACTTTACTTCACTTTAATCCTAAACGTATCATTCTTATTTTCCTAGTATTGTTATCAAAATTATCACTCTAGAATTAAACAAAGGAAATTATCAGATATTCATTTTTTAGTAAAATACATTTCGAGGATACATATATATATTTTTACAGACCTTCAAGTACCATTTAAACGGCATTTTATATAATTCCTTCCCTTTTCTTCCAGAGTAATTACCATTATTGTAAAAATAATAATAAAGCAAAAAATTACAAAATTTAATTCTGGATCTGCTGCTGGATAAGCACTACTCATGCAATTAATGTAATTAATCTCTTATCATCAAATAAGGACTGTAATAAAACTAAATGTATTAATTGTTTATAGAGATGTTGAATCATGAATGACAACGACGATTACGTCATAAGTGTAATTTAGTAATACTTATTCGGATTTAGGGATGATGGAGAAGAAGGTTTTGTCGATAAAGAGGCTGCTGCTATAACAACTTTAAAATAATAGCCTGGAATAATAAGTAGTATTAATAAGTATGCATTTTAATTAAACGAGTTGTAGGAGTGTTGATGACAGTCTTTTGTCACTCCCTCTCTCTTCTTTATTCCTTGGAGTGGGGATTCTTTTCCTTTTAAGTCAATTCGTCAGTGTGTGGGTTTCTTGCTCATAGTCAAGTTTTGTAGGTTAGGGGCCAATAGTTTTGACAATTATCATTTCTGGTATGTATTTTTCGTTGACATTTAACTGTTTTTCACTTGCTGTTATCTTTATTCACTAGTTAATATCGCGTCCATTGTAAATTATGATTGTTTGAACTTTTAATGAACCACCAGTGCCGAAATGAATCTCCAGATGTTCCTAATGTTTGGCTGGTCATTGATAGAGATTCATGTTGTTGAATGGAACTAATTTTCTTATTTTTATAATGTCTCTAGTCATTTTATAAGGTGATTTCGTACTTGTTTTGTTTTAAAATAAATTTTAGTGTCCTTCCTTTATATATTGTAACCTTGGAATGTTGAGCATTTATTGTCTAGTATGATCAGAACATATATGCAACAAAACAGTGAATGGTTTGCGAATTCTGATCCGTTCTCATATCTTGGAGATATGGAGTCGGAAATCGCAGAACTGCGTACTCTTACCAAAGTTACTCAACTGAGAAAACAAATTGAGTGTAGAGAAGAGGGGGCGTGGATGGTTGTCAAGGATATTCCTGATGATAAGGCTCCTTCTGGTGTTAGGAAAGTGACTTCTTATGGAATGACCAAAAGATCAGTAACCAGGTCAGTATCGTCTAATGTTGATTTTAGTAAAACATTTGGTGATGAGATGTCAGCTGAACCTTTGGTACAACTTGCTGATGAAGAATCAGATCAAGATTTAAAGCCTTGTACAGTACAAATTACAGAAGTTTTTGATGAGCCATTGCGGAGAGACATTCCAGAATTTGATAGACAAGTGTTACCTGAAAAACCAATGAATAAGAAGACATCAGTTGTTACCCTAGGCAAAGGTAACTTGGTACTTATAGATCCAGAAGAAGATGAGTCCAATTTTCATGTTACAGGTATTAGTAAAGGGAAAGTTGCTGATGTTGTTAACACTTTAGAAAAAAGTAATGAGAAGAAAGTTAAAAAAGTGGGTTTCTGTAAAACGGAAGTTCATTTTGCTCCAGATTCTGGTAAGATCAATATAGTAGAAACAGACGAAAAACCTCCACCAACTCAGGTTTTTAGAAAAAAGAAAAGGAACAGAGGCTCTAGAAGTCGAGGAGGTAACAATTTACCTAAACATTATTTTGGAGATATGGATGACTTTGGTGAGGATTCAAATCAATCTAATGAATCAGATAAAGAAGATTCTAACAGTTCTTTTCACAATCCTCATGATGTAACAGTTTTATCTGCAGTTAGAGAAAAACTTCCAACTTTTGAAAGAACCATCAAATCAGAAGGTAAAGATATAAAATATCGTCATTCTTCTCCAGAAAAACATGATTTTGACCTCGAAAAGATTGAATCAGAAGGAAAAGAGTTTTTAAAAAAAGTGAAGCAACCATCATTTAGAGACAAGTTCCTAAAAGAAACAAGTCATATACCAGAAAAACTTCAGTCTGAAAATCACTCAAATGTGAATGATCTTGTGAAAAATCTTGATAAACATCCGAGGCTGAAAGACAACTTATATATTTATGGAAGCAAAGGATATTCATCTCAAGAAAAAGAACTATTGAAATCACATTATAAGTTATCTGATGATGATTATGCATCTCTATCTAACTTGAAGTCGCCTTCAAGAAAAGATTCAGATTTTTATCACAATAGGAAAGAAGTTAAGAAAAGTGATGTTCCTTATAAAGAGGAAGAATCAAGTCAAAATTTGAGATATACAGAACTACTGAAGTTCTCTTCCCCGAGTGAAGAGAGTGCTGAAAAATATCCGAACAATGAAAAAAATGTTCCAGAAGTTAGGAACATACCAATTATTCAAACTGATGGTGTTTCTGAAACTGATTATATTAAGCCCAAAAGAAACAGTATTAGTGATATTGTACTGGATATCTCTCGTGTTTCTAGGGTTCCTCTTGATCAGGATGTCAAATCTAGTATATCATTTCTTGGAAATGTCAGTCCTAAATTGCAGAATCTAATACAAAATAGTGTTGAGCATGAGTTCCAACTACGTCAGAAACAGATTCTTCAGAAGAGATCTGCAGAAGAAAAGAAACAAGTTAAAGGAACACAGTGTAATGATAGAGTTAAATCATCAGTAACTTTGAATTCAGCACCGAAAAATGATAGTGACGAAATCGTGGTTAGTAAAAAAGAACCAAAATTAAAACCTGTCAAGATAGTTACTCAGGTTCACTTAGGACCTGAAACTGAAACTAAGCATGAATTTCAGTTGAAGAGAGAGGAAATCACAAAGAACCTTTTTAATGAACCAATATATGATAATAAAGATTTTAAATTAAAAGAAAGTTCTTATTTGTTGAATGAAGAACCAGTGCCAGCACCTAGGGGAAAGAAAGAATCTCAGCTTAAGAAAGATGAAAGCAAAGTCGTTCCCCCTAAACCGAAACCTCGAACTGTCACATCGATTTCTGTAGAAAAAAGTAGGACATCTAAAACACCGACAACTCGAGTTGCTTCACGAACAGACAGTTCACTCTCTTCGAAGAGAGTTAGATCTAAAGAAAGTATTTCTAAAAGTCGAGAATCAGATAGGGTTCATTCTCGGCCTTCTGTTTCTAAGGATGAAGGAAAGAGTAGGAAATTGCATACTCAAGCTGCAAAGTCAGAAACTGTTTCTAGTCGATCAGCAAGAGTCGTCAAAGTCACCCCAGAGGTGAAGGGAAAGAAAGTGACTCGGGAACCATTAAGAAGCTTTGAAAAGGTATCTAATGGCTGGGTGGGCCACATCGTTCCTTTGAAGCAGGAGGGTGTAACTGTGACTACTAAAGTCTACTCTAGCAGGACTGGGACCCAGGGATCCCATGGTTCAGGTGAGCTTTCTTTTCTTTCATTAGATATTACTTAGGGAATGCTCTCTATATATTGTAATTCTAACAGAATAAAATCAATTTCAACATTTTATTTTGTTTTGTTTTTTCTTGTACTTGTTATTAATATTGCAAAAAAAAATATTGATTCAGAAAATACATCAGTATACCTATGTCAAATCACGAATTGATTTCATTCTGCATGAACTGTTTATTTGTATTTTATTAAACTAATTATTTATTTATACTGAGTGACCTGGTTATAGCATTAACAATATTTTCAGTTTTCTATTATTATAGTTTGCTTCTATAAAAAATAATTTGGACTACTTACTATTCTCAATACTTAAGAAATATATTAAATTTTTAAGTTAATACTACGTACAATATTTTATTATAGTGAGAATTTTTATGTGAAAAATGATCTAAAACTTAATTGTTTGGCCTATAAATGGTCCCTCCTTTTCTTAGGAATCAAATTAATAAAATAAGAAGTCTTATTCACTTTTATCAATTTAAAGCTACACAATTCTCATGGCAACGGAATGGGTAAATAATTAGTTTTTTTTAATTTCTCAACATAATTAAACAAACAAAATAAATTTGCCAGATAAATAAATTTGGCAACTGATTAATATAAAATAATGAATTATTAAATAATATGAAACTATAAAATACAAAATTTATGAACATAGCTTTTGGTTGATTTAGTTTATCTTAAGTTATCAATAAGAAGTAAGCTATCTCAGTAAGTCACGGAGCTCATAATTTATGAGTTCTGGTTTGAGTTTGTATCAAAATGTTTCTGAAATACCCAGTGAAAAACCTTGATTATAATCTTTATGAATCCAAATAAATTTATTTTATTTTTTATTTTATGAAGCCCTCCTTTGTGTTATAGTTTTTATTTTTGTTTATTTTAAACAAATTATGATAAAGTTTGGAAAGAGCATGGTTAGGATGAAACATTATAGAATAATAAAATAATTAAATTTTTCTTCAGTAGTTTTGTATTATTTCTTGTGATTATGAAGTGATAATTAAAATTTTTTGCTTTCCATTTTATTTTATTTTTTCAGCTGTTTAGCTACTTAATAATATTCAGGTGAATTTTCATTTCATTTAAATCATTAACAGGGAGTCCAATCAGTTGTAAACAGATTAATCTTATTTTTGAGAAACAAAATGTTTTACTAGAACTATTGTGATAAATTCCTTACTTCCACTTTTTTGTCAAACTTTCTGCCTTTTTGGTCAAGGCATCCATCCGTGAACTACCTTTCTCTTGCATTCCTATATTCATTATTTTTGTTATTGGTATTATTATGACTGTATTTAATATTTTCATATAGATTTCTCACTACTTCATTTGTCTTCTTCCACAGATCCCATTATTTAATAGGACCATAGAGTTATCAAAGGATTTTTCTTTGAAAAATAATACTCATGTTTAACAGCCTTTCATCATAAAGTGTCTAAGTCCGGCACCCACTTCCCTATAATTTCTTAATGATAGCAGGACCATACGGTAAACTCTTATTTTGAGGACTCTAAGTATATGCCGATTTCAAAATAGTTTCATTAGAAACCAATAGCAACTGTTACCAGCTGTTGTCATTACCTCAATGTCTTTTCTATTATTATTATTATTATCCTCAATGATAATAGATCCCAGATACTTAAACTGTGATATTCTCTCAAACCTGTGTCGAGTCCTCTCAATATATCTGTTTCCTCTGTCTTCTCTGTTGTTATCATAGACACCAATTTGAAAATTATTGGGGAGAGGGGGCAAACTATGGGATCATGAGGTGGAGGGAGGGCCTGTGAGGCTGGGGATATTGTTGGGAACGTATATATATAATATATACCTATACAAAAAATTACCATCTGAAGAAGATATTAGTTTTAAGCTCTTCCTAATGACAAAAAAGTGTTACATCACACATAATACTTTAAACTAAAATAGTACATTATTTTAATAGTTGGTTCCTTTTATAGTTTAGGTGATTTTAGGAATCCAAATAATTAATCAAATATAAATTTACGTTTCTTTTAGGCTATTATTTTTGCTCAAAGTTCTGTACATGACCGATATATTTATAGCGTTCATACTACAGCAATTTGTTGGAGGGCTGAGCCCCCAGACGGGCAGCATTGGGGGGCTTGAGCCTTGCTGAACAACTTTCAGAATTTGAATTCTTTCAGTAATTCTCCAAGAATTTTCATGACTACTTTGCTGTTCTGCTATGTCATTTAAATTAGTCTGATAAGTTTCAGATGATTTCTCAGAAATTTTCATTTATGAAACAGTTATTTTAAACAATTATTTTCCTTCCCTTGTCTTTCAGCAATAGAGGGTATCAATTTATTGTATAAAACAATTAAATTAATTTTAAAATGTTAAGAGTAAAATTTAAAAGTTTTAAGTAAAAAAACTTTTTATTTGTATTTTGAAGTTACTTAATTTGTACATTAAATAAAAATATTGGCAATTTTCCATTGCTATTTTATTAAAATTTAAGCATTTGATTATTTACTGGTACATATTTATTTTTTATTATATGCCATTATATTTACTTTGTTAATGGGTGAACATATTTTGTTCTTGTCAATAGCACCATGTAATATTTTTAATATATTTTTTATTTAAACTAAATGTGAGTAAACTTGTTACTTTTTAGGTTCCAGAAAAACTACACAGACGAGCTCAACAGTAAAGACGAGCCACAGCCTTAGCTCTAGATTAGATAACAGTCGAGAAAGTAAACAGTTTTCTCTCTCAAAGGAACACCTCAGTTCTGCAAAGTTAGTTAAACAGGTTTCTCCTAGGAGGGGAAGTAATGCTAGAAAGGTTGAAAGGAAGGTAGATAGTAGAATCGGAATAGACAGCTACCGACCAAGAACAAGACAAGAGTCAGAGCGCTCTGATGATTCTGTGATTCAAGCCGATGAAGAAGTGAGAGCATACATGTTTGACGGCCATAAGAACAAGGTATACTGAAACATTTTTCAATATTTATAGCGTCGAGATAACAGAAACAGTAGATGCTAACTGTCATGGTGGTTGGTGGTATGACGCTACCTCTTCTATATCTATTGGCTGCTTCTGCTACGCATCATCTCCTGTAACCAGCCTGTTGAAAATATTAATCAACTTAAATTTAAATTATGTATGAGAGTTATTACAATTTGGTGTTGGAACAGGCAATATTGGAATATCTATATCTTCCAACGCCTTGTAAATAAGCATGTTTTAGTTTTAGTTTATGTAATAATTTAACACATGCTTACATAATGTAATATGCTTCCTTGATTATATCTAATCAATATATGTAGGGAGCAGTGGCGTCCAGTAGTGGCTGGTTCTCCTCTAAGTTCAGGGCAACAATGATATTAACTGCGCCCTGTTTTTCTTTCTCTTTTGAACTATCGCTTCTTTTTAAACAGCCATCTTACAAAGTAGAAAAGGAATTATAAATACTGAAATATAATGTTGTTGATCTTTCGTAGGAAGTAAATTGTTGTCCAGTTTTAGAGGATTCCTTCCGTTACTGCCGGGTTCTTTAGGAGAGAGGTAATGAATTTTTCAGTTTGTAAATATATGGAACACAGGTTGGCAACTTTCTTCATTTAAAGTCTTATAACATGCTTAATTTTTATCTGTACATGACTTGTTTCTTTGATTCCAAATTTTAGTTTTTATAAATTAATTTAAAATGCCGATTAATTTACAATTTATCATATATGATAAATACAGTAAGGTAAGTAGCGTACAGAGCTCAAATAGTAAGTATTAACCTGAATACTGTTTCTGCTGTACACATATAAGAAATTGGGTGAGATATTATATAGGTTATAAAATTAATAACTTCACCTATTTGTGTTAGCTGTTAATTATTGAATGGAAAAAATACATTTTGAATATATTTCGCACTACAGTTGCGCTGGATAGAGAATACACACAATGGCCAAACGTCGAAACTTTTGTTGGCTCAGAAAGACATACTTTTCCTGATTCCTAGAAAATGTTTTGTTAATGTTAATTATAATAATGTCTGTTTTAGAGTTTTTTTTCCTTATTTTAGCATAATTAATATTTAAAAAGTTTTTTTACCATATATAACAGAATACACCTGAAACAAATTATAAATACATTAAAAACTAAAAATAAATAATAAAGACAAAATTGTTTTTCTTTTTAAATCCTATGAATTTAAATGAAGAGCCTTTCCCTCATCTTGGATTTATTACAATTTTTATTTTATGAAGCATCAAGTTATTTTTACTTTCACTTACTTATATATGTAATATATAGTAAGGGAAAGTATTGCGATCATGAGAATTTTCGAATCTGAGTTTTCAATGGAAATACATGTTTTGAGGTACCCTGAGTCCAAATAATCAAGTCCTGCAAAATGTACAATGTGTATGTGAACAGTCTAGCTCAAAAACTAAAAGTCGCACAAAACTGATATTATGTATTTAAGATAGGTATATGCCTTAGATGTGACAGCAACTTTTTCCTTGAAATCGGCTAACCGGAAATGCCACTTTGTATGAACGGTGATACACATTTTTACAATTTTCTCAAAAATGGCTCTTAACGATTTTGATTAAACTCGGTGTATCATTGTATAATTAAGTGATGTTTAATATCATTTAGGTCTTATCCCCATTGATGTCACTTTACAGGGCTTAAATGCCCAATGTTCATATATGTCTTCCTGTAAAGTACCTTTAATATGGTTTTTTTAAATAATTAACTATTTCTCATTATTAAGAGTTACGAAAAAATGCTGAATATAACTTTTGAAAGAATTTGATAATTAAATAAAAGAGAAAAAAATAAAAATGCTTATCCAGGTCGAAAATTTCTGGAAATACTAGTGAGAAGGTATCATTGGAAAGTGGAGAATTATAAAAAAAACAATATTTAATATAGAAAGTTGTAGAAGGTAACGGAGAGTGGCAAAAAAATTATAAATAATAATTTTTGAAAGCTAATAATATTTAACATAAATCACATGTTTTCAAGGAAATTGAATGAAATTCACTAACTAAATGTAAACTTTTAAAATATTTTTAGGTTTGAAAAAAGTATTTAAAATCCACCTAATCAAGGCAATGACATTGTTTAAGATACTATTTCATTGTACTTGTGTGAAAGAAGAAGTCAAATATAAAAATATTTCATGGTTTATAACTTTAAATATATTTCTGTAGTTTAATAACTCTAGATCTGATATTATATTTAAATAATTAGGTATCTATCGTCCGTTTATTCCGAAAAATCATCATGTAACCTTTTAGAAAATTAAATTAGTGAATAATTTGATGAATTTTCCCTTTGTGATATTCCAACATTATCCACTTACAATTAGTGTGACAACTTTTGACATGTCTATGACAGACAATGCAAATCTCTTAATTCCATTTTAGTAAACTTTGCAATGGAAAATAACAGTTTAATAACTATTAGTTGTACAACCTATAATCAACGAATCATACAATCCATAATCAACCGGTGATGTAATAAATAGGACTTTAGTTATTTTAGTGGTATTTATGATTTGTTAGCTGTGAGCTTTTAGCTTTAGCTCGGTTAAAAATGCAATTCAAAAATTTTATAATAGCCCAACATGGTCAGAAAATAATTTCTATTCAAAGTTGAGCGGTAAGTGAAAGTTGTGTGTTGCGCGCGCCAGATTTTTTATTTTGAATAAAATTCTGATAGATAATTCAATATTTCATCACATTCCGACATTTTCTTGTTTAAATTTGCCAAACCTGGGGCTTGTCATGACTATATGATTTTGTTGATATTAGATTGAGTAATTTGGTTGCTAACCTCTGTTCCATAATAGTATACTGTTATATTGAATGGATTTGGTTGATTTATTGTAAATATCAATATAATTTAATTTTTAAGATTGTAATAGGATAAATTTTTAGATTTAATAAAATTGGAAAAAAAAATTATCTCAGGTATTAGGTTAATATTAAAACATAAGATCACCATCTAGCCTTAAATTATGGTTGAACCAGAAGATTCAGTCCAATGTTTTTATTGGTTCTTGATAAATGACGTATCTTTCTTGCAGCATGTTATTTCATTCCAATTCTCAAAAGAATTCCAATACTTGAAAATCTTGTTTGAGTCATAGATTGGAGAGTTGAATACTATTGCTTAAATTTTATAGCTTTTTCTGTTGTTTTTTTTTTAAAAAACAACTTTTATTTCATGATTTTTATAATTATAAGTTCTAAAATCTGAAAGAAAAATTGATTCAAAACAGATACAGTAATTTCCCCATATTGCATCAGGATTGAAAAAAAAAATGTTTTATTTATTTTGAAAACTCAAAATATTGTTACAAAATATGTGTGATAAACTGTATATTCCTGAAGTTTTCTTAACTTACTGAAATCATAACATTTGAAGAATTAATGTTTTAAAGTTAAATCACAAATGCCTAGAAGAAAACATTACCATTATTTACTGGAAGAGGACTCTAGTCTGGCCCTAGACTGAAAATGGTGAGGGCAGATTTAGGTTATGATAAGGACAGTGCCATCAAATGTTAATTCTTAATTTTCTAAGTATTTTAGGAACTTGATAAAACTTTGTTTCAGTTAAGCTTTGATCAATATATTTGTCAAGATTATATGGTAAGTATTTCATTATTTTTATTGATGCTGGATAATTAAAAAAGAAAACTAACATTTTTAAGTTTTAGTTTGAATAATAAAAACTTATATGGCAACATCAATAAAAATATTTGAATTTTATTAACTCATTATTGCTTTTGATTATTGGTGGGATTTGATGATATGCAGTTTGTTTTCTGGAATTCTTCATAGTGATCAAGTCGTATTAATTTTGCAGCCTTGTAAGTGTGCGGTATGTCACATTATTTAGCCCAAAAAGTCTTATTCTCAAACATTCCTTATTTATCTACTCCATCTTTTGATAGATCCATCTATCGCTTCTTACTATCTACTATTTCCTTCAACTCTATTATGCATTTTCTTAAATCACTTTCAGCCTCCTTTCTTATTACCTTGTCTTAATTTGGTCTTATCAATTTTGAAAATTGTCTGTTTTTGTGATTAAAACTTTTATTTAAACTTAAATTATATTGTATATATGAAGACATGTTAACTATTTAATATATGTATATATTTGTTTAAATATTAATACATATTTTGCCCTATAGCGGAAATGAGCAGTGGGGACATGGAAGACATGACAGCATCTTACAGCGAGATCTGCGAGAGCAGTGTCGTCGAGGTTGGAGGCAGTCGACCTAGCCAGCTTGAGCTGCTAAACAGACTCGAGGGCACTGTGACCAAAGAGGGTCAGATGATTAGCTTTGTAGCTGATGACTTGGAAGCAAAGCTAAGGTTAGCCTCACCCAGAGGGATCCTTGCTGCCCTCGAGTCAGAGGCCTGCGCTGTTGCTGCCTCGGTCGACTCGCTTACTGAATCTCTCTCTGATACCCTCCATGACATATCTTCTCTGACAGTAGACTGCTTGGAGGTGTATACAGGTGTCGTTTGCAAGACTTGTGATGCCATTGATGCTAACATCAAGGCTATGTACCAACTGATGGCTAAATGTGAAGAGCTATCCAAGGCTATGGCACCCATCTATCACCTCTCTGGCCATGTCAAGAACATCAAACACCTGCTCGACCTTATTGAGGCCAGTCCTACGTAGTTTGTTGTCAGTTTTTACTATCATTATTGTTATTTGGTTGTTAGGACTGTTGATTTAAGGTATAACATTTCGTAATCTAAAAACTATTCATCAGCTTGGTTCAAATTACTCTAATGCTGCTTAGTTTTGTTGTGAGCCATCTGCATGGAATCTTATAAAAGACATATTCTGTTATGCTTATCGTTATTAATGAAATATAAGTTATTACAAAGCTTGTTTTCTGTTAACACTCATTAGGATTTGTTTCTAGAAATTTATTATCACCTGAAGTTTTGGTTGCTTTGCTTGGATTATCTTTTACTGTAATCCAACTATTTATGATCTCATCAAGATATTCTATAAGGTAGTTTGCTTGCTGTGTGCATGTTTGATATGAATGATTAGTTAACCTAGCTGAATTATGATATTTTATTATTTCTTCAAAATTTTGCATATCGCTACAGTTAGTGCAAAAGGTCGTATGTCAAAATTAATTTTTTTTTTAAGGAGGGCATACAAAACGATTATTTCTTTATAATTTATTAGGATAATTTCATATTTTATTTCTCTCTATTATTTTTCTATTTGGCAGACTACTTACAGCAGTTGCAGACTACTAAATGTCACCTTTAGTTCAAAGAGAATAAACATGTAAAATTGTTTCCGTTAGATATGACATTTTGAACTAACAGTAGCGATATTATTGCCCAGAAATATATATTTTTTTCAAATTATTAAAGTGTAAGTGAATTTATTGTTTTTCTGTGGATATAGTTTTCCAAATGAAATTTTTCTTTTTAATTCCGTATGTTTCATTAGCTTGAGAGAATTTTTATTATCGTTGTTTCTTGATTTTTAAACACTATATACTTAAAATAAACCTAGCAGCAATAAAAAAAATATATATATAAATTTTATATACCTAGCTGAAAGGTATATGTCATGGAAATGACAATATGATTGGCTGTTTATCACTTATTAGATTAGCCAACATATTTTCCCATCAAAAGTTTATTTTATTATATGGACAATATAAGAGGCTATCACTTTGCAGTCATAATTGTTCATTTTATTTTATGTTTTACATTTAGTTGTGTTTTTTTAACTGACCCCTTGAGATATCTCAGCAAAGTAGACATCAAAGGGTGTTGTAATATAAGTATTATGTTAGTAATTATTTGTGTTAAACTCTCTTCTAATCGATTGGCTTGCTCTCTTCAAGAGAATATAATTTATATTTAATAATAATATAATTACAGACTGTGATTCATATCTTTTCTTTTTTGAGCCTTATAAACATCAAGTATTTATTTTGCTCAATTGATTATTTTACTCATCCTTTTAGGTCTATGTGATTAATTAATTTATGTAAGATTTTCTAACTAAGTTTCTTATGAAATTTTGTTCTCTGGTCAAATGATTGTCAAGATGTAATTTGTATATTATTTTAATATGTTTTAATGACTGTTAAAACTGCAAATATTAGGTTTTTATTCATTACCGTTACCTATTTTAATTTCAAAAGGAAAGACAACTTGAAATGCTTTTCCTGAAATCCTACTGAATCATGCTGTGCTCCATGATAGGACACACTTCCTTATCTTAATCTTTCTGAAGTTTAAAGTATGGTATAAAAAGTATTTCAATGGAATGAAATCATCATATTTATTAAAACTGTGTTGTTAGTACTTATTGATTTTTATATAGTTTATGTTGTTTGCTTTATTTTTTCTACTTGCAATGTTTTATATCAAAGCTGTCTTCAGTCCTGCTCTTGGTTTTATTTATTTATTGATCTTTAGACCAAGGAAATGCTAACTATATACATTTGGCATGAAATGTCAGCATGTTGGGCATTTAAATATAAAAATGCATTTTCTATTTTATACATTTCAATAATATTGAAATATCATTTGATTTAATTTTATATCTATCATTTGCCTAAGAGAAGTGGAAATGCTTCTGTTAAGCTAGGTTGTTAAAAAATCTTGTATTTCGATATTTCCTTGGAGTAATAATTCATAGTTGCAGAATGAGATGTGTATTGAAGAAGTACCTTTCATCCAACAAACTTTATTATCGATGATGATGATATAGCAACATTAAAACGTATTAAAGTAATTATTATGCTGAAATGTTCCTAAATCTTGACAATTGGTGTTGGATGTATCTTACTTGCCCTCGAGTCATGTTTATGTGAACAGGAGCAGATCTTTCTCCTAATACTCTGTTACTTACTGCCTAGCTTTGATAATTTGTAATGTAAATTTTTTGTTTTGTTTTTAATCTAATTTTATATTTTTGTAAGATAATTGTTCATATGTTTATATGTATAAAGAATTAAAAAAAAAGGTATTTATTAATAATGTCTTACATAATATTCCTTGTTAGGATTATTTGTTAATTAACAATTTTAATATTGTTTCACTATTGATAAGTTTATGTTGAGGAAGGTCTTTGTAAAAGTGTATTTTACTCATTGAAGGCAGTGAATAAACTGTTGTTATTGTTGCAATAATAGAAGTACTAAGGTAGGTTAATACTTAGCCTGTTAGTTTCCAATCAGACAGACTATGTTTTGAGAATGGGCGTGCACATTATATTTTGTCTATTACCTATCCATCTTTTTTTAATTTAGTATGATTAGTTCCAATCATTGTATAAGAGTACAGTTTATGTGTTTCTACTTTAAGTACGAGTTAAGTGAAATATGTGCAAAAGACAAATAATTAGAACAATGGTATTTATACTTTTTTTTATAGTATAGATATTAAAATATTTAAAAAAATTAATAAATACCAATAACAAAGAAAAAATAACTTTTTTCTAAATTGTATCCTACCCAAAGGCCTGCTCCTCATTTTTATTATAAAATTCTGCAGGAAGGATTAACAAGTTCTTCATATTATTTTTTTGCTTTCCTTTATTACTTTGATGTTCCAGGCTTTCTCCCCCCCCATTTTCAAAAGATGCTAACTTATTGTTTAATGATTTTCTTTCCATATTATGAAAGTTTCAACGTTATTATTAATTTTTTCTCATTGTTTATTAAACTCTCTCTTACAAATCTACCACACTGTAGAGGCTAGTCTAATTCATTTAATATGTTTTTATTCCTTACTTTGTTGTACATCTTATAACTAGCCCCAGAATATATGGAGTTATACTCTAGCAGAACTATCAAGTTTAATCTGAAATTCACATCTCCACCATTTTATCTTGTCCCTTATAACTCTATTCATAAAATGGATCCCTTTAAAAAATCCATTATTAAGTATGCTACATTCCTAATGGGTCTCTTTGAATCGCAAGTCTGCAATGCTCTTTCTTTTTTATATATTTAAATGACATCTGTTCGTCTAACTCACTCCTGAATCTACGTAGTTCTAAGGCTGCTTAACTGTATGAGTTGCTATAAATGACAGTATACTGATCGGTTTAATTGATAATATTTAATAAAAGAACATAAAAAGGATAAAGCTTTAGGAGACTACCATCCTAAATGTCTAATGTTATCATTTATTTATTGTTTTATTTTTTCCTCATTTCTGTTCCTAGAATTCATGGAGCAATGGCCAGAATGAATATAGGTGATGGTGCAGGATTCCCAGCGAGTCTAAAATTATTGATTCGACCATGCTCTGTAGCTGATTCCTTTCAATACCCAGCTTTTCCAAAATATTAGCAGTTGAAAGAGGAATTGCCCCTCTACTTTTTAGACTTTTGTGCAGTCCCTATTCATCTTAATGTAATGACTGGTTTTGAAAATAATTTATTGAAGCTGCTACAGTTTCTATATTTTTAAATTTTATTTATTGTATGGTATTTGTCACTCTTATCGAGTGGACATGGTCTTTGCTCCTGTATTCAAATTGTTAGAGTATTCAGTGATTAAACATGCCTTGGAGGTGTCCGCGATGTAAGCTTGGCTCCTCCTTAGGCTTAGAAAAAAAAAATGTATTACAGCTACTACTACATAATTTCTGTATTTTTAAATTCTATGTATTGTATTGTATGGCATTTCACAGCAAAGACGAGTTTGAGTTATAATTAAGAATCATGAGAACCTTATATTCTCAACTGATCATATGCTCCAGATGAATAATTAGATCTAAGTAGAGTTAAGATTTCAAATTTTGTGTTACAAGTAAATAATATATAATCTGATTGGTCCTTGACAAAATTATCATTTGTCACTGACTATCTATAATAGTCAAGCTGGAAAGCCAAAATTGGGGTACAGATAAAACAAAGTAGATATTCTTTTTAAGATTGAATTTTATTAATAAATATAAATTTGTAATACAAAATTTGAAAAAAAAATAAATAAAAATTATATGAGAACAATGAACACAATTAACTGAAATAGTTCGTAAAAACTTACACAAAGTAATAAATTATATTGGTAGTTTTACTATGTTTAACAAACTTATACAACTTTTATTGTATCCAAACAAAAATAATAAATCGTCACAATACATTATTAAAACCTGGATGAACAGAAGAATATAAATAAATTACCTTGCAATTTAATAAACTGAGATTATTTAATTTAAAATAATATATGGTTTTTATCAGCTATTAAATGGAAATATTTCTCTTTAATCTATAGTTTTTCTAATGGAAAACCTTGAGTAAATCAGTAGCATACTTATATATATATTAATATATATCTTAAATCTATTAAAAATGTTTCTTTAAAATTATTTTACAAAGGTAAAATCCTATCACAATTAGATTAAAACATGTCTCATAAAATATCTATTATATTTAACTTTTAAATAATCAGGTGATATTTAAATTCGAATGCTCTTATAAACCACAGCTCCTTCAAGAAATGTCTTCAAAAACATAAATTTCAAACACATTAATAATTACAAAAATATAAAACAAAAATTGCACATCAATACATGAATAAAGGAACTTAAAAATGGTAATTTTTGTTCCGCAACGAAAGCATGCCTACTTAGCCATGTAAGTAGAATTTAAATCAATTTATTTCTCAAAAATAAATTCGTTTTCCGTCAAATTCCATCACAAAATATAACTAGAATCAAAACTAGATAGTTATAGTGTCACATCTTCACTCTAATCATGACTAGTAAAGAATAAATAAGAATGAAAATAAAATGCACCTAATACACGCCAGCTATCATGAGAAAAAAACAAACAAGAATGGCACACCAATCACTTAATTTGTGCGAATGGAGAAACTAAAACCACCAACCAACTACAACATGCAGGAATGTGAAGCAGCATAAACTGCTGGACAGATTCAAGAGAAGCAAGTATGTTTAAGTAAAAGTAAGCAGGTTGTAATCCTTTGTCTATGGTTATACCACTACTGTACCAAACTTCACAATTTCAATCTGTTTATATATATATGTAAACATATTTGGCAAAGAAAAAATTGGTCACAGATAAGAGATTCACATCGAACATTATTAAAAAAAAAAAAAAGGGGGGCATATTCCTTCACCATTTACACAAAGCAACAATCAGTTGAATTCAAAAGCAAATTAAAACAGCAAATTTTTTTTTATTATCAGCAATCAAACAAGATAAGCTCTCTTGGTTTCAAGAAATAATTTTCAAGTTCTCCATGACAAACAGGTCCTACAATGATAAAGATTAGTCAATAATTGCTCATTCACCCTGCATAATGGATAAAGAAGGAGACAATTATTCAGAGATTCTACAATAAACATTAAAAAATAGATTATTATATCAAGCGCGCTCAGCCCAGGCCTATACTGGCTACACTATAACACTGACACAAATAAACAGGTCAGTATAGAATGTAAAAAAGAAACACAAGCACACACAGAATGTAGTCCACGCCTCGGCTAGACAGTAACGGCAGGGGCCGGTGTAGACGGGCCAGGCTGAGGCGCGGGCTGTGCTCAGTTGGCGCCTTGGTTGCATAGTCTGTAGCATCGCACATCATTAGCCAAGCGGAAGATGTTTTGAGTGAATGATGGTAAGTCCTATAACAAAGACGATACTTTAACATTGTAAATGAAGCAATAACATAATTTGATGTTGACTAACTTAATTCCAAATAATTTTCTGTGAATACTAAACTGGAACTATGTGAATCTCAAACTTGAATAACTAATACAATCACTTACAGTGTCCGGTTTGATGTTTTTCTTCAAGATGTCTCTTTGGGTGTCATCTAAGCCGGATGTTTGTGACAGGAACTGAGGCAGAAATGAGTTGAAGAAAGTGTCAAAGTTAACAGCAGCCATATTGTAGATAGCTGTAGCTATCTCCTCATTGAACAGCGCATGGGTCTTATTTATCAAATTGGTCAACAACACTGTAAGCAGCAGTGCCAGGAATTGTACTCGAAACATATCCTATGAAATGAGAAAATATTCAAATGAAAAAAGATTTTTTTTTTTTTAGTTTAACTACTAATATGCTTTTGTTTATTATTAAAAAAAAGGTGATATACCTTGTGGTAAAGCTTCCACTTATGGTTGATAGACTCAAGCGCTTGCAGGTTCTGTGAGAATATTGAAAGGTCAGGCTGAGTCAGCGACTGCCCAAATGCTGTCAAGATAGCAGCGAGCTGGTCACCATGTTCTAATACAGGCTGACAGTCCTGTACAGCACCCTGGTAGAAGTACTGCCACTTGTGCATAACCAAGCTGTTAAATAAAATATTTTGTTCAATAACTGATAAAATATTTACAGAAATGATTATGTTTACAAATGAATATGACTATTTTCGATAACATTCTAGCCAAAATTGAACCTAGACTTGTGAAGATATGGATGGACTAATTTCAATCCAAATTGAATGATACCCGAAGAATTATTTTAAAAAACCCTATTTTTTATTTTATGCCAGGGAAATGGAAAAAATATTAACACTAATATCTTCAGTGAAAACTTATTTATTAAATCATATTTACTCTTTGTACGTGTTGTATTTTTAGATAAACCATTTACGGGCGGGGTGGCCGAATGGGCTAACGTGTGTGCACAACACCGCCGTAGTCCGGCAACCTGATATATGAAACAATGGATTTAAAATAGTCAAGAGTTCACGTCCCGGTGCTGGGAGTCTTCTAAATCTCTGCCCACACCCCCTGGCTCTGGAAAACCCCGTATAGCATTAAAGGGGAGGACCCCCCCTCAAAAAAAAGATAAACCATTTACTAATCATTGCTAAAATTCCTACTACACCATATCTAACTTGCAATATAAAATTATGAATTACTTCCTAATTAACACTTCATATTATAGTTCAACACTCATTTTATAGAAAGTTTACAGAGTGACAATAGCAATGAAATATACAATACAATGCTTCCCTATCTTTGGTAGTGATATTCGTTTGAACGCTATACTATTATCCATATGGTTGAGCTCCCTAACTCTTACAGCATCGCTCCACTATACCTGGTTTTATTGAAATGCATGTATTTCTATTTATCGCTCTATTCTTCTTACTGCTCGATACTCCACAATGAGGTTGGCTCATGTCACAGATGGAGGGATTGATTAATTAATATGTAAATAAATATACAAAGGAAAAATAATATAATGATCCTACACCCATTGCTCATGCTGAACAGCATGATTTTACATTGGATAATTGTTTGACAATGAATTCTTTTAAACCTTGTTAATTAAATTCCTATAAAAAGAACTGATAAGAAAAAGAATTGACAACAGGCTTAATTAGAGAAATTATTCATTATATTTTATTAAAACATATATATCTATAATATATATGATACGGTAGGATAGATCCCTTTTTCGCTCTCAGGAGAGATGGATTTTGTTGAATGAGGTATCAAGCGAAATCCTGGAGAAGTGACAAATCCCAATTTCGATCCCGCAATTCCTTCAAAAACTTTATAAATAATCATAAAAAAATTGGGATGTTTCAAAACTGAAGGTACTGCCCACCTCAGCAACCGCCATTCCATACTTCCAACTGTTAATGTTTGTATCTTTCGCTGAACCACCTTCTACAAAATGATGGTTTCTTGTAATATTTTGATTATAAAATATAAGCATTCATGGTAGAAATAAGACGATAAAATATTAATTTAAGAACTGAGGATGTATTTTAAATTTAGAGCTTAGTATTAGTTTGATAAGTGACAGCAATTACTACATGATTAGTAATAAATATCATATATTTTTAATAAAATCACAGAAGGCAATGTTTTATCAATAGGTATTCATTAAATAAGGACTTTGATAAAAAAAATACAAATTGATTTTTCAATGGATGGATTTTAGTAAATACCTAATGTTAAAATTTGTTGAATTATTTAATGTCATTTAGATTTAGGTATATTTGAATTTCTCTCAAAAATACTTTTGGTGGAATAAATAAATAAATAATCTTGTCACTTCAACCTAAAGAAATGATTTGCTATAGCTTTGTTTAAATTATAAACAATATTTCATTTAATTTTGCCAGACTTGATGAAAAAAACAAACAAACAGGAAATGAAACATATAAAGGTGACTGACATAACCTATAACCACTGTACTGCCAACAGTTTTACTGCTTCAGAAACAGAAAGTAGCAGTATAGATATGACGTCATATCTAGATTGCTGAACAGTGCCAATGATATAGATTCCTTTATATTCGACTAAAGCAGTGCTCAAATGCCAGCAGTCGGCCCAGTGGGCAGTACCAGCGAAATAGTAACTTAAGGTGGTTTCGAAATCAACGAATCGAGATGAGATAAATCATATTTTAAAGATTTCCACACAGCAATTAAGATCCAGTATAGTTCCAAAGGAACTATCGGGTCCTGGCTGTTAAAGCCCAAAAATGCCTGGCATTTTAAAAATCCACTAGTCACTTACATGTTGAATGCATTAGGGGTAGGGATAGCTATCTAATGTTACAGTTCTTACTGCAGTTTATTAGTAAAATAAAATATTTAAAATTACCTTGACAATAAATGGAAGAGGGGAGGCTTGATTGACGCAGAGGTAGCTTCTGTCACCGATGGCAGGATGTTCTCTAAGCAGAGCGCAATACAGCTGGGAACAAAGTGTTTGAATGAGGCAGCAGGCTGCTCTATAACCAGCGTCAACAGCTGCAGCAACTTGTCCACTCCACAAGACACCTCGGAGATCTCACACCTGTTGCAAAAAACCATTCTTATAAAATATCATATTTTATAAAACATTTATTTAAATCTTTAACGCAATTTGGCAATCTCTTATTAACATTGTCAATAAAATGGAGGATATCTTAACAAAAAAAATAAAAAAAATCAGACATTACAATAAAAATTAGAGCAATCACAGAAGCTATTTGCTATATTAAGAGCTTACTGGGTAAAGCAGGATATAAAAGTATGGACAGCTCTCTGGGTGAACTGTGCTCCCATCTGGTGCTGCAGAGCTCTGAATGCTTCCAAGAAGAGGGTCAACATGGCGTCACACTGCTCGGGCTTCGTTTTTAACACCCTCGGGAAGTCGTTCAACACTTGTTGCAGTACTGGCTGTAAGGAAAATAAGTTAACATATACTGACCGAGTTTCTAAAAAAAAAAAAATGAATTCTAGTCTAATAATTTTTACTTAAGTAAATTCTTGAAATGAATCAGAACATATAAGAGATTTACAATAACAAACTTATATTTAATGCAACTCTATCTTAATTTATTAAAATACTAGAGAATGAAATAAAATAAATATAATTTATTTTACCTTTTACACACATATATATATATATATATTTTACTACATAAATTACTAAGTATTTAGAAGCCTTTCAAGTTAAAAATGTTATTAAAAGTCTTTCCACTCTCCAGAATGTTATAAATCAATTTTTTATAAAGGATTGAAGTTATGCGGTTATTAGTTTTGAGAAATATGCAGGTATTCAAGAAATGTGCAAGAGTATTAAGTTTTAAGATTTAATAAGTCAAAGCGTATTCAATTGCATGAATAAATCAAAGATGAATATAAGCATATCAGACTGCTAGTTTACTAACGTACGCAGATCAACACTTGTTATTTATGGTTCAATCCTCGCTATTCATCAACCATTCTACAATTATCCTTTCAATAAATATAGATAATAACCTGAACAGCGGTGAAGAGAAGCTTCTTAGCTGATGAGGTGTCAGGCTTGGCATGGAGGAGAACAGCTGTGATATGAGTCAGGTCTTGAACCTGGCCGCCGGTCGGGGACATCGACTCAACCAAGCCAGCCAACAGTTGCACCCTAGTTGAGTCTGATTCCCACTTCCAGGAGAGAAGGCATCGGACCAGTGCACAGTAGACGATGCTAAGTGTCTAGAAAAGATTTTATTAATTATTTTATAGCATGATTTATTAAAAGTAAACAGTATGAATACATTTACTTGAGATAATTTAAGTTATAGAAACAGCATTCCTATAAAATAGTACGTGTACAATACTGTAGTAATTCCTAGATAAGTCTAGAAGCTGAGTCTGAAGACCTAGAAGCTGAGTCTTTTTTTTGAGCAAATGTGGAGAAGCGGTTATATTTTATTAATTTAATTACAATACCCTACCTACCATAAAAAAAAAAATTCCTTAGGGAGGCCAAATTATTAATGTTTTTTGTTTTTTTTTGTAAAACTCACTCATATTCTATGTGAGTACATTATATAAAAAAGTACATTTTTTGTATTAATTTGTTTTGTTCGGATTAATAAAATGTCAGTTTCCATTAACAAACAAAAAATTGTACTTTTTCAAAGGATTTCTCTACTATAAACTGTACAAGTGAAAACATAGACAATAAATAAATACATATGCTGAATATGTACATACAGACTATATTTGGAACTGTTTATTTTTATTTTTTGCTGTGAATAGTCAAATATGCAATACTTCCACATATTCGTATTCGCTGAATAATCAAAAAATGTACATGGCAAACTCTCAAATGTTGAGGGAATACTGTATTTAGTTTGAATATATCCATCATTATTTCGCATAATTATGGATTTAAATTATGGATTATTTAGTGAAATCAAGTTCAGACAAGAGAGAGTCAAAAGCAAACAAAATAATATATCTTATTCGCCTTTACTTATCAACAACTAACATGCTTTAAATTAATAAAACATCACTACAAATCATTTGCAGTTCAAAAAAAAAATTATTCTTAATATGAAGACTTCAGACTTAAATTTATTTTTATTCAGTAGAAAAAAATAAATACAAATAAACATATATTATAGGCAGGAATATATGATGCATTTTACTCACATCCTTGGGCAAATGTGAGATATTGGTGGTGAAGAGACTATAGAGTTGATCTAGTGAGCGCTGCGGCGCACGCTGGAGGCAGACCGTGTTGAGGACATGGGCAGCTGAATGCTGGAGCCTGTAGGCTGTCGGCTCCGTGAGAAGGGGCAAGATGGCAGTGAGGCTGGTCTCCACGACACTCTCGCACATACATGCTGACAGTCCTGCTACTATCTGGCTATGTCTATTTGAGCAAGGATTCATTAAGTCAACAAGTTTATTTTATATAGATTTAATTTTATCAATAGACAATTTAAAATGTTAACAAATTTTCAAATAAATTTGGCCAGTAAAATTTTTAATAAATTATGACAGTCTTAATTTAGAGTAAAAGTATTCAGCAGTTGAATTAACTGAGTACAGTTCACCAGAACCCATTATTCTCTTTACCATAAGAATTGTAAATGGTTAGTTCAACAGACATAAATTAAAACAAAATATACTTACAACTCGATTAGCTCAGTTCGCATGTTACCATACTGGGGACGGTCATGGAGGCGAGACTGAGTCGCTTGGGCTGCTAAGTTGGCAAATAATGAGGCCAGGTTGTGAGGAACAGCAGCAACTAACATCTGTGAGTAAAGGCGAGCCACACATTGAGTCAGCGCAGCGCAGTCGGCAACCCAATCTCCATCAGGGTTCTCTGTCGCTCCAGAGCAGAGTAGGGTGGAATACTGGGACATGAGTGGCTGCCAGCATTCCAACTGTACCAATCATAGTATTTTAGTACACAAATCAGACACCAACAACAAACTAGCCCTATATCAACACATGGCATGGGAATTGGTTGATGAGGTAACCAAATCCTTGATATAAGAATATTTTATGTGCATGAATAATAGTTACAATATAAAAAAAGATATATAAATAAGAACATAGCATTTACATTTGTTTCAATGACTAAAAAAAGAGTAAATGAATTTATTCTTGAGTTCCTACATATTTTAATTTTAATACTTATTATTAATCTGTATCTATATTCCATAAGAGTTTTGCAGGAAAGTTAGCTTTAAGAATAAAACTAAAAAAAAATCTCTCTAATATATAAAAATGTTTTTTTTAGTGACTGTGTCATATTTTATTTTACATATACAAAGCGGGATGGACTTTGATGAAGACTCCACACTTCTTATTCCCAGAATTATTTCTCCCTTATTATGGTTGTAAATTGCCAATAGGAATAATCATATAATAATATAAATTGACAATAAGGCGCTATCTATAATTTCGATTTTTAAAGAAATTAAAAATTTGTCCAGACTGTGATTTTGTTCCGTTTATTTTATGTTGATAAAAAAAATACAATCTTAACAACAAAATACATATAAATTACAGTTATAAAATTTGAGCAACAACAGTACAATTAAATGAACAGTTGTATAATTTGTAAAATGGGGGTTGATCCACTGTGAGGCGGACAGGGTCTTTAAGCCCCTAGTAATGACAATAAATAAATAAATTAAAATAAAATATTAATTTTGAACTCTTAATTAAAAAAAATCATAATAAAAAGTAACATACTACAAGTGTGCAAGTCTGTGTTGGAGCCAGCTCTGCCACCTTTGCAATAACTTCAATGATTTGTCTCAGGAACTTCTGCCTCTCAGTTTCTTCCTGAAATAAAAAAATGCAACTTAATTTCCTTATTTCAACAAGGATTAAATCTAATATTATTTGAATAACTTAAAAAAATTATACTATAATACTAATAATATTATTATAATAGAGATGAAATCCAATTACTCAAATCTGTTCATTAATTACATTTGCATGCATGCTAGTTAATTTGAAGGAAATATAAGGCTATTAATCAATGAGTTATATGAAATAGAAAACTCACTAAGTGAAATGTATTTATTTCTTGATAAGATAATAAGATTTTTTATCTTTTCTTTTCTCCCCTACCTTGCTACACGAGCTAGGAGAGAGGGCAGGGAATTAAGCCAGATCTAAACGCCTCCACTCGCACTGGAACTTAAACTCGTAATCTTTAAGTTGCCAGGAAAAAAGGCAAAACATGTATTGCAAACACATTAGCCTAATCATTCATCCCCTCTTTTTTTTTTTATCACGAGACTGCCAATTATGATATTTAAAGTTAATCCAGATACAAATTTTTATTACATACTTCCTTAATAATAAAGGTTGTTTAGCTTTCCAACTGAGACAATAAATATCGCTACTGTTAGTGCAAAAGGTCATATGTGAAAATTGAGTTTTTTTTATAGTAGAGATTAAAAAAGGATTAAGTCTTTATGATTTATAGGTATAATTTCATATTTTAATTCCCCCTGCTATTTTCCAATTTAGCAGACTATTTAAAGCAGTTGTACATACATATGTGGCATGACATCCCGTTAACGAGACTGGGCCTCCTCCAAGAGCCTCTGCCAGTTAGCTCTGTCTTCTGTTGCAGCTCTCCAGTTCCGTAGGCCAAGCAGGGTTCTCGCGTCATAGGCCATGTTGTCCAACTATATCGTCCTCAGCCTTCTTGCGATGTGCAGCTCCTCCATCATTATTTTCTTGGGTATTTCAACGGTGCTCATTCTGGCCACATCCCCTGCCCACCTTAATCTGCCAAGTTTAATATATGTGACTAAGTCGATGTCTGTATAAAGAGAACTGAGCTCCCTATTTTTTCTTTTCCTCCAGACATCACCCTCCTTTACTGGACCATAAATCCTTCTGAGGACTCCTCGCTCGAACACACTGAGCTTCATCTCATCACTTTTCGTCATCGTCCAAGCCTCTGAGCCTTTAGTGCAAAGAAAATAACTGAAAAATGATAACATATGACTTTTTTTACTAACAGTAGCGATATAACAATACTTTCCCTTTACCTTGAAACAGTACTTTCTCTGAATAGTACTGAACCCAAGACCCTTCATGGGTTGCAGCTGTACAGATTTTTTTTTAGTAGTGATATAAACTAAGGAAATAATCCACGTAATAAAAAATTATTTGATTGTCACTTACATCACTATCAAGTATTTCATTGTCCAAGTCACGATGTCCTTGAAGTTTCTTCAGGAGGGCATGGACTAAGGTAACTAACACCTCTTCATACCTGTAAAATAATAAATGAATAATTTGTAAAGTTCTAATACAATAATATGCTTTTGTCTTCATAAGTAAAGGCAGTCAATAACAATTTTAATTTAGACTGAAAAGAAAATAATCACAAACATCTTGAATAATTGTGTAGAGGTGGTTGACCATGATTATAATATAAGAAGGAATTGGTCCAGGGGTGCGGTCAAATAAATACTATATATTAAAATACTATTTTAATATATCGTATTTATTTGATGGCAACTTCCGACTAACTCCTTCTCATCTTGAATAATAATTAATGTTAAAAATTTATGAGAGGGATTATTGTACATATTGACTTACTTAGCAATATGGGATGTATCCTTGAGAGCGAGATATTCCAAAAGAGAGTTCCATATGTCTAGAGTAGTATAGAAACCATCAAGAGATGGCTGTTGGAATGTGAATTGGAAAAGTGATGACAGGAACTCCAACACTGGGAATCCCGGTGATGACTCCACGCGGTGCCAATGTACGGATACACACAATCGAGTCATTTCACTCAGTTTACTAATGTATCTGTAATTAAAGATTGTCGTTAGCAATATTAGTTATGTTAATCATAAATTAAATTTACTGATTAAATATGCAATTGTTCCAACTATGTTTACAATGAATAAATCATAAATTAGGGAGAAAAAAAGAAAGTAAAAATTGATAGCTTGTAAATATAATATTTCTATGAAGAGGACCAACTATTTTTTTTTTTTTTTTTTAATATTGTGAAATATTTTAAATGAGTCACTTATTTCCAAAGTGAACCCTAACAGATTTTTTTTGTTTTAAATTCAGATAAGTATCAATTTCGACATAAAAATGGAGGTATTTCTTTTTCAAAAACAAAAATTTTTTTTTTAAATTTTTCAGTGATAATTAAGGTTTATTTTGGAAATGGACGACTCAAATATTGTGATCAAGACATTTTTTTTTCTATCTATCCAGAAATAATAAATTTTCATCAGTTATATTAAACAGAAATAACGATTTACTCTGGATCAAGCTCTGCCATGTTGGTTGACAGTGCTGTCCTTAGAAGTGTGTTGTTATGGCTGCACAGAGAAAGCAGCGCATTCTGGAATGTGGTAGGAACACAATTATTGTATAACAGTTCGTTCAGTGCAGACAGTCCATGGAGGCCACATGTGTCCTGCAACCGAAAAAAAAAAAAGGTCAAAGGCTTAACCCACAACCGTTAGGGAATTAAAAGCACAAACTAATAGCATACGGGCTGTAAGGCGAAGTGAGTCACTAATGAAAGCAATTGAAGACAATTGACATCCGCCAATGGAATCCATGAGAACAGGTGAGCTAACGCTTGGAGGTTAGCCAATATCACCGTGCTGTCGTTGCCTCCTTTGTTCTTAGCCTCATCGAGCAGTCCTATCAAACAATCACTACAATGTTATAAGACCATAGACATCAAAATTGAAAAATACTAAAATATTGTAAAACAACAAATGAATAACAACAATTAAAATTTGTATACTCATAAAAAACTTTTTTTTCATAACTAGTGAAAATTATTATTAATGATTAATAAAATATTGTAAAATAGAAAAATGCAATTGTAATAGAAATTAATTATGGATTAACACAAATTAAAACTGATAAACCTAAGTCAATTAAGCTAATCTGAAGGGACTAGGTTTGAACAGGAAACGGTGGAGGGAGGTGTGTAATAAGCGATTGGTGGTGTCGGCATTGAACCTTTGGGTTCGCTAAGCCTTTTATTATTATTATTTATTTTTGAAATTCTAACCCAAGCCAAGATTCTCGATGGGACTGATAATTGTTATAATTATTATACAACAAAATATATACCTGTAATACTGTTGAATACTTGAGGAATGTGTGCTAAAAACAGTCTCTTGAGTTCCTCTTTTCTAGAAACACTGAGATCCTCTCGCGGACAGATGAGCTCCTCAGAAGCAGTCTGCAGAAATGCCAGCCCCAGAACTCTAGTGTCACTGCCCTCCATCAGCTGAAAGGAACAAGATCAACTTAGAACCCAATATTTTAACAAATAATAAATCTCGAACTTATGGAAATATTAATTATTGGAGTTTTCATATCCTTATGTACTCCAACTAGTGCAGAAAGGACAAGTCTTCCTACAGGTTACAAAATTATTTTGGGCAGAGTGGAAAGGTCAAAATCTATTCAATGAGTTTGCCAGGAAATAAAAGTCAACCCTTTATTCTGGATTTGAACCAGCAACAGTTCTGACTCAATAATGGTGTTGCCTCAAGAGGTTTGACCACCAACGACTTAAAACTTAATTATAAACAAAAAAAGAAAAGTGTGCTTTCCTAAAAATGAGTCACTAATAAACATTGATTGGTAATCAGAAATTTTGTAATAGTATTTTCAACCTTCGGTGCTACATTTTTAAAATAAAATTATAGACCAACAGTAACTAATAAAGTTTGATATGTGCAGATCATTTCAGCCATCTAGAGCCATTATCATATATATTATGTATTGTATTTTATCAACACCATTTTAAATAAAACCCCTTTATGAATACTTCTTGATGCTATTTTTCTTCTTTTTTTGATGTTTGAGTCAATTACATCTGAGTCACCTGAAAATTGGCATGCATATCTGATATAACTGACTCAGAACCTGGAAAAGATAAACCACAGATAAAGAATTATCAGTGGACGACTTTTATTTGAAACAATTAAATGCAATAAAAAGTGTTGCATGGTAGATTTGAGCTTTAGCTCAGCTCTAGAAAGCTGAAACATCACACAAAAATTTTAATATTTAATTCATCTATAAATAAACAACAGGATATCTGAGAATTTGAAGAAAACAGGAATATCCATCAGATCTTCCACCAACAGGCAATATTGAGGAAGAACAATTGAGCTGACTAAGGACTACTTCTTTCTTCTGGTGTGTTGATAATAATTGATTAAACGAAGGATGCTTTAATACCGAATAACAATTGCATCAATAAATATATGATCTTCAACATTAATTTCTCCATAAAAAACTACACTACTACAATTTGCTATTGCTTATCAAATAATACAGTAGTGCTTGCAGATCAATCTGTTTGAATTTCTTAAATATTGACTTTTTTCTCTCTCACCTTACAATTCTAATGTAATTCCTCTTTTTTCCTAAAACTACAAACCAATAAAAAATGGTCCCATTTACCTTTTCTATAGGCTCCTACTATTAGAAACATGGTGAATTTCATTGGTAGAGTACAATAAATAAAAAAATCAATTTGTGACTTAATATGTTAGAAATATTCAAGCTAATTAATATTTTGAATTTATTTGTATAAGTTATGATATATTTTTATTTAAAATTTCAAAGGATTGGTACATTCATTACTCTTAGAATGGTGATTTATGTAATAACTTTAAATAATTATTTTTTAAAGGTAAGATTTGAAAATCTAAAAACATCCTATAACTTAGTTTAATTTTTATTTAAAGATTTATTCATCTTACCCACTCAAAAATAGTTTAGTATAAAACAAATGATTAAATTAAAGACTTTTAAAACAAAATTAATTATGGTAATTAAATAACAAACAAATTATTAGATGTGTTTTTAAGACTGAAAACTAATCAGTCCTCATCTTGCTATTAAACTTAATTAATAAACTACACTTTTATTCAAAATTAGAAACATTTGTATGTATTAAATAATGGACATTGAAGAGTTTAATATAAGTCAGAAAAATAAAACCTAAAGCCCCGAAAATATTGTTTTAGGACAAATTTTTAGATAATTCCTAACATTCTGTTTATTAGGGAAGCAGGGTAGCTAAGCGATTAAAGCACTTTGCTCTCATGCTCTGGATGCCTGATTTGAATCCAGCTGTGGCATGTAATCACTTTTTTTTTACATCATTTGCGAATAGACACTGACGTGAAAACATACATCCTCAATAAAATGGTATACTCCTAATTACATAATTATTTAAATGGAAAAACCTAGCAGTTGAGCATGACCTCGGTCAAATCAGTCACCAAAAAACAAGATTCACTTACAAAGTACAGAACTTATTATCACCACAGATTTAAGTGATACAGTTTATACTGAATAAAACAAGTTGATAAAAACAAAAAAAATTTAATAAATACTCATAATCCAAAAAATTACCAATTATGAATGAATACATAGAGAGTATTTATAAATGCTAGCCATCCTTGACCTCATTTGATTTACACAGCAATATTTTAGTTAATTTATAAATGTAAAATACATAAATAAGAGCATGTTAAATATGTTCACACATTTAAAAATGGTTAATTAAATAATATCAAATATAACTAATAAAAAAAACATTGTACTAGAAGAATTGCCCTTCTATCCCTACACTGCAAAATTTATTCAACAACAATCACTAAAACTTTTAAGAAGAAGCAATCATGTTTAGGCAACTTAATTTGTCAACAGGATATCTAAAAGCTAAAATAACAGAAAATTTGAATTAAATAAACTATTTGTTATTATTAACTAGGAATCCATAGGCATTCAACATATTTAAATATAAATAAATGAACTGAAAATACGAAAATCTGCCAGCAACAAGTCAGGGAGTAAAAAAATAGATATTTTTATTAAAATATTTTTTTTCCTATTTTGCCATCAAATTTATAACAAGCCATTTTGCATAAGTGTCATTTAGCAATATAGTTCAGAGAATCAATAATCTAAACTGTGTGTTGTGAAGTAAAAATAATGAATATTTAGTACTGACAATTTTAATTAGTATGACATTAAAAACAAAATTGTAAAAAGTAAAATTTTCAATGTTTTTTTTTCTCTCCCATCGAAAGTTTCGAAACAAATAGAAAACTAATAATTATACAATCATCCAAAATTAAAAATATTATGATAGTGAGATTTCAACTATCTTTTCTAGAGATATTAGTAGAGGCAGACAGTTGCATCTAGAGGATAAAGATATAATTTAAAATCAAATAAACTTCTGAATTTAATGCTTGGGAATATGGGGGTCGCCTTTTATTTATTTTTGGATAGATGTTATTTTAGCTTTTAATTTATTTCAAACCCTACAATTAGAGGGAACTTAACAAGAATTTAACTCAATCGATTGAATAATTACTAAATCAAAAGAAGCTGTAACTTCTGATTAGTTGGTTTGAATGTTCAAATGCAAGACATTAATAATAATGTGTAATGAAATTTAAATTCTAGTTCTTACAAGGAACCGATCAACAATTATTCTGAGACAATAAAATACAAAACATTCAAATTATAAATACTAGAGTAAACAAAAGGTTATAGAAATTATATACTTACTGTGAGAATATTAGAGAAGAAATCTGGATAGAAATGAGGCCAATCATATCTAGCAATATCAACAACTAGTTTCAGGAGTTTGTTTCTAATGAAGACAGGAACAAGAGCATGTCTCTGAAGTGTATATTGGTAAAGAAGGGTACGCAACTGGGATCTTTCTTCCCACATAAGCTGCATCCATTGTTTGGTGATTATTTTCTGAAAACAATATTTAATAAATAAAAATTGATACAAATTCATCATTCAATACTAAAATTTTAGGGTAGCAATCTCCTCACCTCTAATGTAGCAAGGCAAAACATGCATATGAAATTGTTAGTTGTGTTATTTAAGTAATAGATGCAATGTTTCCAGGCATCTCTTTGGCTGCCAAACTCGCCAAGCACTGTTTCTATTTCTTGTTTTCTCTCATTTGAGGTCTTGTAATCAAAGAACTCTTTCAGTAAACTGTCCAAAATGGTAAGAGACTCTGTTCCACTATCCTAAATGACATATTAAATTATCAGTATGATAAAAGATAAATAAAAGTGAATATTGAACATATAAGTAACAAATGTTCAGAAGAGGAAGGAACAACGCACCATTTCTCAAGATGATACAGCGCGTACTAGTTAGAGGACGTCAATCATAGTACTAGAAGCGTTAGGAATCAATACAAACTAGTCAGACTTTGAAAAAAAATTAACTCTCCTGCTCAAGCCGACATACAGAACCAAGCCATTTCGTTATGTTTACACAGGCCAGCTGAAAAATCAAATTCTCTACGCAGCTGACTTTATATCCCAATATCCACCTAAAAAACACTTTCATAAATTTTCAACATTTATTTTTTTAATTTTTTCAATACATTTTTATTGATAGATAATGCTTAAAATAATATTCTACATATAGCTAGATGGTCAAGAATTTTTTATATTCTCTAATTTTGAAGAGAGAGAGTATGAAAATATTCCTTTTCATACTCCTATTCGTTTACTTTTCTTTTACTCTTAAAATTATTCCAAATAATAACATATCAAAGAATATTTTTTTTGTTTGATAATTTCAAGATAAAATTGGTTCTTATTAACTTTTACAAAACTTATTTACTTTTTCAATGGGTTATCTGAAGAGAAGGTCCGGTAGTTATATGTGTGCCCAGTGCTGTTTTATGTTAGTGGAATTTGTGTTAATATTTAATTGAAATTATATGTGAATTAGTGGCAGGAAGAGACAATAATAATGGATGATTTAGGTGAGTGGTAATTTTCTTTCGATGGAAAAAGTGTCAGGGTCATCTGAATATTACATGTAAACTGCTGTCATAAAACCATTTGATAAGACTTTTTTCTCTCATTTGGTAGGAGCCCTATTATGCTGTACCATTATTTTCTTAACTACAAGTAGTTTGTGAAACATTACTTACTTATAAAATATATAAATTGTTAATTTGTATTTACATAGTGTTTTGACAGTTTATTTTGTGAAGACAATGTCATAATTTATTCCATGAGATCTAAAATGTAATTTATATATTTTTTTAATTGGTAGGGCTAAAATATTTGGGACCTAATTTTAAGGTTGTCATATTTTTTAAGATAAAGCTTATCTCTTATCTTTCAAATTTGTTTTATTCTGAAATCATTGTTTTGTTTGTTTCATCAATAAAGTTTTAGTGATTTTTAAGTAATGTTTTTAAAATTAAGTTATTAAGAGTACTAATATTTTTGTATTTATTAGTATTTTTATACTTTTAGCATCTTAAATTTAAAATTTTCACTTACATTAATGCATTATATTGGAAGTTGTTTTATTAAGGGGAATTCACATTTGTATTAGTTGGTCTTTGTTTTATTTTTCGTACTTAAACTATTGAAGCCGTTAGAATAAAGGAATGTCATTAGTTCAATAGTGATATTTTTATTTTTCTAAAAAGTACGTCACTATTAATCTAAGAATCTGTATAGACTCAATGATCTATTGCAAATGTAATTGTATGCTGTTCATCATATTTGCATAATTGTTTTTATATTGGTTCTGAAGTTAGATGTTGGTTGGAGCTATTTTTATGCTAATTATGGTTAGTTGTTTGAGATATAGTTTTTATGTTATTTCTAGATTTAAATCTTTTGCTAAAGATATTAGCCAAGCAAATTTGTTTTAAATCACTCAATTTTTTATGTTCCGCATGTACTGGACTGATTATTATCCGGATTTCCTTAATGAATTGATTTTTTTTCTTAGTTTTACACTGTTTTATTATATTTTAATTTCCAAATTAACTTATATTGTCTTGTTTTTTATGTATTTTAATAGTTGAAATTTTGGTTCAATCTGATAACCATATAAGTTCTCATTTCTTTGAAAACCATTAGCTGCTGACACGGTTTTGATCTATAATAATTTGAAGTTTGGAATTTATTTATATTAGTTGTTGAAGCTAATTCTTATTGAATAGCATTGACCTTGGCATTGTTTGAACTGGAGAATCAAGTTGATTTATTTTTCAAAATATCACTTTTGATGTGGACCAAAGAATATGATTACAATAATTTGATTCAACCTTCATGATTGATGTAATCTCATTATTGGCTCCAGTCATGAGGAAAGTTAAGAGTAGTTTTATTGTCAGTACGATAACTGTTGTTGAGAAAACATTATTCATATGGATTTTTTTTTTCATATATTGTGTCTCCATCATTTAATGTGTTCTGGACAATCGCATTGTTTTTAAGGTCTTACTAAATTTCTTTTTCCAAGTAAATTTAAATTGTTGATCTTGGACTCCAGTTGGAGTTCAGAACTATAAATCTTGGATTAAACCATAACATTTTTCGGAATGGAAAAATTAAAAAAAAAATTTGTATTGATGATGATGTCATGATTTGAAGGACTAGTAATAGTCCCAAGATGATATTAATTTATTTATTTTACATTTATTTATGATATTTACACAGTTTCAATTATTTTTCTGTAGAAAAAAGCATTCAAAAATAAAAAAAAAATAACATAATGCTATGCAATTGATCATATCATTTTGATATTTCTTATAATATTTGCTAAGATAAAATCTCAAAATGATTTCTTGTATTTAAATATAAAAATAAAATTGTTAACATAACTTTTTTGAAACATCATTTTGCAACTAAAACAGTGCTAGTAAAATAAGAAAAATTGTTTTCTGGCTGAAAGTTCCTCTAAATTGAAAGTACACCATAAAAATCCTCCAAAAATTCATAATCCCATCAAACTAAGCTCTGCTGAAAATTCAGCATAGGGCTTAAGTGACCCATAAAAAGGGTTCTCCCTCAAAAAATTCGATGCATCGCTCTTCTGGGCACCTGAACCGAATTGAAATTTTGTAACTTGTGTAAAAATAACACATAAGTGATATATGGTTGTAATGTCCAACTGAAAGTGGGGTGGTTCAGAATTCCACCCATTTAAAGGGGGACCAAATATGTAAAAATTGCATTATTTAAAGATGATTTGTTTCAAGCCCACATGAAACCACATTCCCTCTCCCCATCTTTTTAAAAATTGATTTTAAAAAGTTTATAGGCCTCTGCCTCGCCTTTTATGTTATAAGGGGATTTTCCTGGGCTGGGGGAGAGGGTGAGGGATCAGTGTCAGAGCAAAAGCCCCCTCCCCCCGTTACCGGGACGCGAACTTGTAATTATTTTGTCATATTAGTATTTGTTTATCTGGTTGCCCGGCAACTGTGGTGCTGTGCACACCCATTAGCCCACTCAGTCAACCAGTCCCTGTCACTTTCCCCACTCCTTCAAATACCAAAAGAAAGTCTGTCATAGTTGGAATGAGGTGTCACACTTCCAGGCATAATTCAAAATTCACGTTTTTTTTTACTCGATAGTGTCCCATTGCAAATATTGTGGAAACAGCTATTCGTGCGAATATATATTTATGATGAAGTACTTAAGTAGTACGTCATATCAGTTTCGATTTGAGCCCCACTTTGCGTTCTATAGTTCCAGAGAAACGATCTTGAAAAACATGTTTTTTTTTTAAGTGAAAAAATCGCCATTTACGGAATTCTATATTCACACCATCGAAAGTGTTATTCCTATGAGGATTTTATAATAATTATTTTCGTTTGTACTGTTCGGCATTTTTTGACATGGTTGGGAGTGGAAGAGGTGCAATTTTATGGTGGCTTGAAACGAACCAGCTTTAAATAATGCGATTTTTACATTTTGGGTTATGCCTCCGTATACTATTTCGAAACGTCCCTCCCCCCTCTTGGAGCTGTCAGACTAATGCAAACATGAATGCATTATAATCAATATAAATTATTGATGAGCATTATAACGATGTACTGTTAAAAATTTTCTTCAGATAAACCACAACATTTCAACTTGCTTTTGAGGTATAATGTAGTAACAATGTTTACAAATGAGCGATAAATTTTATTTCAAGAAGTTTGAGATCTCCATAGTTTTTTTTTTTTTTTTAGTTCGACTGCTAACCTTATTTCTATCAATTTCGAGCTTTGCTTGATTAAAATTGTTAAAAATGTACTGAATTTTGGTAGTATCTAGTTCCAATATTCAAAATCTATCAAGGAAAACAATTCTGTTATTGATTGTTTCTTTAGATTTGTTAAAACAATGAATAAAATATTGGACTGGTATTGGTAGTAGGGTTGATGAAATAGTTACTGGGTGAGCTAACTGCCTGTCCCTAGTGATGTCATCCCCCATTTGCGTTGCGTGTTTGCCAAAGAACATCAGTATAGGTCGCATCGCGGCCTTCGAACGCACACATATTATTCATGTCTGTATTTTAAAATTTTCTGAAGTTAAATATTAGCAAATTTGTAATAGTAAAAATTAAAATGTATATTTTTTTAGGTTCTAAGGTATGCAATAAAAAATATTCACTGTTATTTAACAAAAAGTGCTTGATGTGTAAAAAACAAAACAGTATGAAGAATTCACTATGCGTATTTTACGTTCAAATAATTTTTTATAAAGCTCGGTAAAGTATGTTTTTAATTGTTTCTGTCATCCCTCTCTACTTCAACTCCAAAACTATTTCCATAAAATCGAAATAAACGGAACCTTTCTTGATTTAGAAGGCGAAACGTCGGCAACAGCAAAACGATTGTAAAGAAAACGATTTTTTTGGTGGCCCTTTGCTAGAAATCATTTAGAGAATTCACAGTTTTTTTAACTAAAAGCCTTTCAGGTGGAAAATGTTTACTACGTGTATTTTATTTTCGTATAGTAATTTCGTAAATATAGCAAAAAATGCGTATCTTATTTTTTTCTGTTATTCCTCTTCTCTATTTTATCTCCAAAACTATGTTGGTACCATATGCGGGGAACTTTTTTTATCATTAAAGGCCGCAGTAAGGTTAGTCAGTGCTAATGGAAGCCTCAATAATTCTTTATATTTTACAGTTGTTATTTTTATTTATCACTAAGTACATACACCCACATTCATACATTCAACGTAATTCTATTAAGTTCTAAATCGTCGTAGCTTAAATAATTAAATATTAATTAATTCTAGCACTAGATTAATAAATATCTCTCAAAAACTTGTGGAGGTCGCAAATACGTCGCAGAGACCACATGCGGGTCCCGAAGCCGCGGTTCCCCACCTTCACTATATACCATAAGATCAAAATAATCTTACTTGAAGAGCCCTTGACATAATTTAGTTGTTTTAATTTAAAAATAAAATACAACATAGATATCCAAATGATGAATTTTCGTTATAAAATCCATTATTTGATAATATTAGAGCCTTTTATATATTAAAATTTGTGTATTTTATATGACCCAAGAGTTTTGGATGGTTCTCAAAAAAAAGCTCAATCGTTGTATAATTCGAGTAATTATGGTGGTGAAGAGAATGATGGTTGGGGTGATCAGTCAGAAATAAAAAGGCAAAAATAAATAATAACATTTATTTTAACATTAGCCGACGTTTCGGCCTAAAGTTCAGGCCTTCATAAGGGGTAAGAAAAGAACCAGATAACAAGGTATGAGAAACATAAACAATGTAGGTAAAAAAATTAAAGTAAAATGAAGTGGGTAGAATAATGACAATAACAAGAACTAAGAAATAAATAATAATAAAAGTGTGGAATAATGAAGTAAACATAATCAAAATAAGGTGATATAAGTACTAAAATGGTAATCTTAGAATAAAATGTAAAACAGAGAAAAAGAATATGAAGTTATATAAGAAATAAAAATAAATAGTAAAATTAAGATATTGTAAATAGAATAGTTAGATAGAAAATTGAGATATTGTAAAGTCTATTAAAATGTACTGACTACGTATAATAGAATAAAGAGTTAAAATAAAGTAAAAAATAAATGAGCAAATGTATCAATATATACAAAGTGGAGATGGAAATATGGAATGCAGAATGAAAGGAAGGAGGAAAAAAAAAAAGGAGAAAACTAATTAAGGTGGTGATAATTATGATGATCAGTATTATAGGGAAGATTGATCATTGACCTAAGTGTATACTTAATTTTAAAATTGATGCATGAAACTGATTTGGTTATATGTATATGTTAATATACAAGCCTTAAAGGCTTTTATATTAGCTTCGGTTAGCCTAGTACCATACTATGTTATGAATTTCTTTCCTTTGCCAGAGTGGCCACCGTTTCCTTCTCGGCACTAGCGGATCCAGGATTTAATTTTGGGGAGGGATCTTCAGCCCGAAAGATTTCATATACATATAACGATAGTTAATTTGAAAAAAAAAAATAAAGAAATCAATTACTTATATGAAATGGTGTTTAAGTGGATCTTGAAGTCCTATTAAATATAATTACACGAACAAGAATACTTTAAGAGATAGTTTTTAATATTTTTTTCTGTAATACATGATTATATTTTACCATTTTTTGGGAGGGGAGGAGGGGCTTCAGGCGAAAAGCTCCCCTCTCCCCCCCCCCCGTAGATCCGCCTGTGCTTCTCGGATCTATATTCGTTGAACTCAGTCTTTTAAGATAAAAACAGACTTGAGTCTAGTGCCGTTTCTCATCTGTTAACTGATGAGAAATATTTGTCGTACGGGTTGTTGTACATCTTCACTAGCTAAAATAATTCGTTCAAGTATTCTCTATTGCCTGGAAGTTTCCCCGCCTGGGAGTTTATTATGAGTATATTTATAATTAGATATAAATAAAACATCATCATCATCATCTGATGGCGCTATGATCCTTGTAGGACCTTGGGCCTCCTCTATAATACTCCTCCAAACCGACCTGTCTTCTGATGCCCTTCTCCATTTAGGCTCTCCACACTTCACATAGGCTCCTAAGATTATTTTCGACCTCTTCAAGCCAGCGAAGGTATTCGTTTTTATTATACTTCACAAAGAAGATCGTCATATTTTTACTATCTTTACTGGTAATTATTTTTCTGTAACAAAACTACTCAGTTCGCGCCTCTTGTCCCGAAACTTAAAAATTAGAATCTATAAAACAATTATCTTGCCTACAGTTCTTTATGGATGCGAAACTTGGCCACTTACATTAAGGGATGAGCAGCGTCTTAAGGTTTTTGAAAATAAAGTATTGCGTAGAATATTCGGACCGAAGAAGGATGAGTTAACCGGAGAGTTCAGACGGTTACACAACCCCGAATTGCGTGAACTGTATCCGGGTAATATAATTGAGGTAATTTCGTCGCGGCGAATCAAATGGGCTTGTAAAGTTGTTGGGCTTAGTAACGAGAGAGTTCCTAAAAGATTAATATTTGCTGTGCCGAATGGTAAGCGTCCGAGGGGTAGACCGAAGCGAAGGTGGGGAGATTGCATTAAAGCCGATCTGAAGGGACTGGGTTTGGACGGCGAACGGTGGAGGGAGGTGTGTAATAAGCGATTGGTGGTGTCGGCATCGAACCTTCGGGTTCGCTAAGCCTTTTATTATTATTATTATTATTATTATTACTGGTAATACTCCCTTTTCTTCACTTCTTCAAAAGACGGGGTGGGGAGGGAGTTCTCCTGGTTCAGGCCAGAAAATATCTGGTCACGTTAACTTGAGGTAGCAACATACTTAAACAACACCACTACAATTTTACTCGTACTCGACATCTCTGCAGTATTTATTTTTCTAAAAACAAATATAGTTTTCAATAGTCACTTTTCAATATCGATATATTTTAAAAAGAAATATCGATATTTTTACATCATCCCTAGGTATAACTGACTCAATCAAGTCACTGGTTATATGTAACTAAGCTAGTTGTTTTCAAAACAAAATAACTTCTTGAATGCTATCTTTAGAAGGGACTGAATTAATTTCAATCTAAACCTATCAAATGGTTGTACTACGAAATGTGTTTTATAGACTTATAACGAGTTTAACGCTCCCATGGTGGCTTATCCATCACATTAATAAATAGCTGTCTGAAGCAATTGCCGTTTATTTAACTTACATTTACGATTCCTTGGTGGTTTAGTTTTAAAGAAGAACTAGCAAGATTGCAATATAATATAGTACCAGGGTAAGCATTAGTATTTGTAAAATATTTATGAATTTAGTTTTCAGAATACAGTCAAGATAATAGATATAGGCATATCAAATGGGATGGTTAAAAAAAAATATATTGAAAGAAAAAATGACGTATTAAAATATTATTAAAGAGAAGGATGGTTGGGGTGATCAGTCAAAATAAAAAGTGGCGAAAATAAATAATAATATTTATTTTTACATTTGTCGACGTTTCGGCCCGAATTTCAGGCCTTCATCAGGCCTGAGAAAAGAAGATGAAGACCTGAACTTCGGGTCGAAAAGTCGGCAAATTTAAAAATTAATATTATTTATTTTTGCCATATTTTATTTTGACTGATCACCCCAATCATCATTCTCTTCAATTATTCACTACAGTCAACCATCAACCCACAATTATAAAATATTATTATTTTAAAGGAAACATACAAATTTAGTATGTCTAAATCTTAAATATTATTGGAATAATTGCTAAATAAAGTCTCTGACATGAAACCATTACATCAAGCACTTAATTCTACCATGAACCCGTACATCCCACCCGACTACTTTTAAGGTAGTTGCCAAGGGACCTTATAACTTAGCCACTTCCCAGAAGTGCAAAGATTTGCTTATTGCAAAAATCACTTTGCATATAGCAAACTCGCTAATCGTTACAGATTAAATGCTTATGATAATTAACAAAAATATTAGATTTTGTTGAAATTCCATTGTCTTATTATGATTTTGGAACAAGTATTGTTTACTACATTTTTACACATTTTCCTTTTACGTAATTTATTTTTCTACAAGTCGACTATTATTATATTAATCCGGTATACTCACGTATGAAATTGTTGAATCCATTCATACTTATCTTGTATTTCAAAAAATACTTACTCAACGTTACTCCGATATGTTTTGCATGTATTGTTAATTTTGTGTTATCTGTTGTGAAACGGACATTTGGACCTGGTTATCTTATCTCTATGCTGCTTAGAAAATGCTAATTGTCATCATCGGCTGATATATTAATCGATAGAGGTACTAACTCATCGTTTTCTAGCTGTTAATGAGTATTACGATTATCATTGTCCATAATTTCTGCTCAAAAACACGCTTATTTATTATTAATTTTTGATAGGGAGTATTATGTTTTGATAAAAGATTCATGTCAAAAAGTATAGTGTTCTATAATCTATAGTTGAAAAGAGAATTAGTTTGTGTTCGATTCTAGCATCAATGGGTTGCAAAAAACTAATGTTAATAACTGACCACACCATCTCCTAGGAATACTTTAAGCTGGTATTTTTCAGAAAGAAAGCTTTCTTTTCGCCATGGCAAGTGAACTACACGTTATGTAATTGGCTTTAGCGAACTGTAAGTTGGATGATAGCGGTTGTAAATATATGCTAATTGATAATAGGGACCATTACTATAATGTCGGGTCGGTATGGAACCGAGTTCTTTACCGATATGGTTGAGCAATTTACTGATTTAATTGCGATTTGGTTTGAAAATGAGGCTCTCTAATATGGCAGGTGACGAGAAAAGTGTACTTAGGTGGTGTATTTAGGATGTAAACATGTTGCTTTAACCGTTTAAATGAAACGAAATCGATTAAGATTCTAATTTAAGAAAACCTATAAATTTTTAGTAGTGAATCTTGAATTTAATTTTGAGGCCTTTTATTTATTTTTGTTTTAACGATTACTATGGATAATTACTGTGGATGAACAAAAAAAAACTCCCTGTATGAAATAATGTTTAGGCATTCCATGAAGGAAAATGAAAATAACGCCATTACAGAGTCAATAATGCTTTTATAGATACATTTCTCATATTTTTTGTTAACACGAGTTTAAATTGAGTAGATAAATTTGCATTATAATTTGGAAGAATTTATTGTGATTGTTCGAGTATTCAGCTTTGATCAGATAGGCACAGAAACAAATATGAATCAATGAAAAAAAAAAACATTTATTTTGGGGAGGGAGGCCTCAGCCCGAAAACCTCCTCTCCGTAAATCAGCCAGATGGCGTAAATCAACATATTCAAAGTACATCATAAGAAGTAGTATAGTTCCAAACCATCTCATAGCCTTTGATTCTTCCAACGAATGCTGAGGAGTGGTTTAAGTTAATGGATTAAGATGAATCTGAAAAAAAATAAAGGTAAATAAAATAAAGGACAAGTTCCAAAACATAATGCTGAGCACATCAGTGACATCGGTACAGTCTTCGAATTGAGCGAAATTATCCCATGGATGAGTTTAGGAACTTTCCCCAATTAGGGATTTATTTACTGCTTCTTATAAGTTTTCAGCTGTCATCTATTGATCAGGAGAACATATTCAAAGTGTTAAGAGCTCGTGGGACATATCTAAATATTGAATACGTTATAATTACGAATTTAAATAGTAAATTACCTAGGACTCCACCTGGACAAACGTCTAACTTGGAATCCTCATACCAGACTGAAACGACAATAAACAGCTCGACGTTCCGACTACTTCAGCACTTACTAGAGAAACGCTCTAACCTTCCAATTAATTACAAAAGATTCATTTACATGATTATAATAAGGCCTATCTGGACTTACGGAGTTGAGCTATGGGGCTCCACCAAACCTTCAAATTCCTCTCGTATCCAATCCTTACAATCCAAAATCCTTCGTAAAATCCTCAATGCTCCTTACTTTGTTACAAATAAAATCATCCACAATGACCTTGTTCATTATATATCAGATTTGGCCCAATCCAGATATCTGTTCTTCCATAATAAACTTCATAATCATCCCAACTCTCTTCCTAACTTGTTTCTAACCTTGCTTCCTATTCAATTCTTGATAACCCTCCGAGACGTCTGAAAAGAAGATGGCCACGTGATCTCCTAATATAGACATATTATTAGAGTGCTACCAATGGGTAGTTTCTCAACATGTGTTTCATGTCATTATATCCATTTGCGAATTTACTGGATGAATTTCTTTTTATACAGTTGTAAATATCATATAAATATAAATTTAAAAAAAATAGTAAATGAATCGCATGCTACTGTAGTTCATGGTTCTTCTCTTCAGCCACAACAGAGACGGCCTCGCTCGACATATTGGTCATTTCCTCCTTGCTCCGTGTCCCCTTGAAGATAGGTTAGATCCCCTTGACCCCGGCCGATCGTATCCCTCCTCCGGGTCTACCTGGAAGCCGCCAGGATCTAGAGGATATCCCCGCCGCTCCCTCCCCCGCTCACCAGGAGTGGGACGCTTGTCGCTGCAGTGATGGACCGAACCGTCTACGGAACCTACCAGCCCGGCAACTACCAGCCGTTCAGGTGTGCTCTCAAGGGTGGAAGTTCTCCCGCCTGTGAGTTTGCTGTGTATATGTTTATATTTAATTATTAACACATAAATAATGCACAACATTTACCGAGAGTAATATCCGCGTCAGTGCTTGGTGCATAATTATCTGATATTATAGTACATCGTGCATTTATTTACTAGGAGAAAGAATTTAAGTTTTATTGGATGCATTACTGCTAGAGTTATAGCAGGTGAAGATGGTTTAGATCAGGGGTCTTCAAACATTTTGGCCGGTAGGCCACATTGAGACGTCCACTCCACAGGCCACCTCGACATGAAAAAGAAAAACTTGTTCTATAAATGAATCTTCAGTTATGGAATGAGTTTTCAAAGAGAAGAGAATCAATCAGTTAAAGTTGCAGTAACATTGTGTTCGAGTGATTTATGAAATTTCATATTTTTTATATTTTACCGTGTAATCAAAAACATTTGTGACAAATTTGAAGAATTCTGGTTTACTAATCATGTATATGACACCTATGGATCGTCACATTAAATATTTACATAATAATAAAAATGAAATCTTCTGTACCTTTTATGTACAGATTTACCTTTTATTAGAATCCGAAAACACTATTTTCATGCCAAAGTATAGTAAGTTGAAAACCTCGATTCCTTGGCGAGAGGTACTAATGCGTTACACCATGCCTCGTCTCAAAGTAGTAAAAGTTACCTTGGACGCTTCGTTAAGCTAAACATCGTTGTTTTAAATTACGTCCTTCTTCGGCCGATTCGAGACAGTGACTGAAGACATTCTAGAAATAGAAAATGTGTACAATAGAAACTATTATAGGATACTAGAAGCGATAGTGTCAACATGACATCACTGTGACAACATTGAAGGGATCTGTCATTACTGAGCGATCACGTTTTGCTTTTCATTTAGTGTTATCTGTTTTTTATCAAATACACTTCAACAGGCATTTATCTGTCTTTTTTTTTCATTTTTATTTAAAATTATATTTCAAAAACCTAAAACTGTTGACAACTAACATCCTTCGCACTATGTAAACAAAGTATTCTCTTTACATTAAAATTACTTAGCCATTATGCTGTTTTCAAAATTTAGGCCGTAGTTTATATTAATCTGACAACCATTCAAATGTTTTGGATAGAAGACACCATGAATGAAGTAGATTTACTGGTATATTTTTTATTATAACTTCTATGAATATTTATAAACAAACTTTTCCAGTCCGTTCAGAGACTAACTTTCATAACTCTCCTATATTAATTTTATTATTTAATTTTGACGAGGTTTTTTAATTATTTTTTCCTCGTATAATAAATATCGTTAGTATGCATGTATTCATTTATGCGTGCTTACTCCTTATATGAGCCTTTCAGTTGACAAATGACTTGCTCGAATTTAAACATTTTTTTATTATTAATTTTAATGCTATTTCTAGTGGGAAAAATTATACCTTTATTCACAGTTCTGTATTTCAACACTGCAAATCACCTACTCTGAAATCAACTTATCCACTTTATGTAAAGAAATTATAAATTTTCGAACTAGAAATATCACTAAAATGACTTTACTCAAAATGTTTGAAATTGGAGTTAGTGGAAAAACGTTTGCATACATTTTTTGTTTTTATTAATGAATGAAATAAATTAATTTCTAGAAAACTCGACATATTAAGATCGTGAATTTTATAAATATCGCTTTGAACTGAAATGTATGGAAGGAACGATTGTATGGAAGTTGTATTATTTTTCAGTATATTTTATAGATCGGCCCCTCAGTTTGTTTATATTCATGTTGAATAAATCGTTTTTCTGTTTTGATTTTTTTGAATAAATAAAAAATATTATTATATTTGTTATAAATTCCTTAGAAGGTATGGTTGTGTACCATCGGGGGTGCCCATTCCCCCTTCCCCAGCGTCGAACCATATCCCTCCATGAACCGCATCCTCCCTCTCCAAAAATTGTATTTCACACTTTTTCTTAAAAAAAGTACAATCGAAAGTAAGATTAGACAAATCATAGATCATTTATTATTACACTTTCTGCGGTCTGTCTCATGTTTTCCTCCTTGTTCTCTGTTTTTAAGTTTTTCACTCCGAAAATTCAAAACAAAGTCAAAATATGCCCCCCTCAAAACTTTTGATGACGCACCTTGCGTCTTCTGGGCACCCCTGTTTACAATACTTCGTTTATCTGTTGTACCATCTGTTTTTATAGAGATGGTATAAAATTCGACATTTCGAAAATATTGTTTTGACCTTGAAGGAAAATATTATTTTATTACTTATACTTTCTCTAGTTTCTAATAGGAATATAGTAAGAATCATATATATATTATATATATTATCACATAACAGTTCAAAATAATTGATCCGAAGAAGTGACTTATGCTGGACCCATTCGTTGTAATGCTACCTATCTTTTGTATCTTTTGTCTGTGCTTGATAAGTTTGCCGAAATACAAACTCGAGTTTCGTTGTTAGTTACAGGAAATTATTGCTCAATTAATTAATTAATTAAATGTTATTATATATTCTTGCGTGTTTAAATATCTGTGTCCTTGAGCTGCTGACGTTAAGTAAGACCGTTTTAAGCACGTTTTGAGAGATGTCCGTGACCTTGACACGTTAATATTGAAAGCCAAGTGGAATTCCTTCCGACCTATGTTCCAGTTTTTCTGACCTTTTTCGACTCCATAATAAAATCCACTCAGCAATGCGGAGCCCGGGGCTCAATTCTTTGCAAACTTGTCATTTATTTATTAATTTTTTTTAATTTTACCGAGTGCCTCACAGCCGTAAGGGCTTTTGTCTATTAATACATGACTCACTCTTTTGACGTCACATTTAAACTTTGTCCTTTACTCAGGAGTCTCCAACATTTTTGGCCCGCGGGCCATGGCTTCTGATGAAAAAAAAAATCTTGTTCTATAAATGACTCTTTAGTTGTGATATAAGCTTTCTAAGTGGAAAAACTCACGTAATAATTGTTGTAGTAACCTTCTGTGTTTTTTAAATTTTACCATGTATTAAAAAAAAAAACTTTCGCGGGCCGTAGTTTGGAGACCCCTACTTTAAACTATTAAATGCCAATGGCGAAAAATATTAGACAAACATGATATAATAATCAAATTTTCTGATTTAATAGTAGATATAAAAAAAATGGATTAAAGTTTCATTTATGATTTAATGACTGGAAGAACACCTAGCGATTGTAATATTGGAGAATCTTCCGAAATAAAACATAAGTAATTTAATTCTTGTGTTTAAATCCCCAAGTTCCTTGCCGCTTCGTGATCGAGTCTTATTATTCGAGATTTATGATCTACTTTTTTTATAAATTGATGACCATGTTTTCCAGGATTTATTATTGGCTATAAAAATGTTTTATTACTTCTTAATGTTTTCATAAGTCGTTATTTATTCAAGTAGAAGGTTGCCATTGCACATTGATGGCTTAACGATTGTTGGTTTTTGAAAATTTGCTGATGTTGTAGAACTTATATCTGAAAAGTTTCAGGAACATTTAGAATTACTCTCTTTAATTTTATTTAGTTTATCTATGTAATATGTCAAAGAGGAAATTTTCAAGTGAAATACTGTAAGTCGTGTTATGATATACATTAACGATCATTGTTAACTATTAATTTCGGTTAAACATTAAAATTGATTTTTTTTTTTAAATGTCGACCATTTTTTCTACGTCATTCCCTCACTTTATAGTGGCTTTGGGTATGGTTTTAAATAATTAAATTTCATTACGATTTATATTGCAACTGACATATAATTTTTTTTTATTGTGAAATATTACAATCTGCCACAATTAAGAACATTTATAATAGTGTTCAAAGAGTACATTTATTTATTTTTCCTATAGGAGAAATATTTTAAGTTACATGAGTGTTTAGGGTCAGCTATCAATTTATGGATTCCATAAAACCTTATCAAACTATCGATTGTATGACGTTATCGCATGTGTTCCAAGACTGAAGGTATTACCTTCGTTCTTTACTGACCTCTTCAATCAGTAATATTGCCGTTTCAAGTTGTTTTCACATAACTGATGTGAGTTTTATTTGTTTCTTCTTTTTTTTTATATTTATATTTCCTGTTATTTTCAACAGCTATCTTGATATAAGAACCACTCGAAATAGGTCGGAAACGACTGAAAATAAACTGTGCGTTCCAATGTGTCCAGAGATGTTATGTTTCGTTATTTATTACCTTATAGTGATTACTTTTCAGATTCATCCGAAGACCGAACATTACATCAATCCCACATTTATTGTTTTAATTATTTTCCAACAGTATTTATCTCCTATAAAAACTTAATATTAATATCAAAATTGTGTGTGTATAACTTTATTTATGTATTGCAATATACAATAATTAATTTGTTTATAAATTGGTACAGTTACAGTATCATAATATTGAAAGTATATGTTGAGTTATGATGCAGTGGCTCGGTTAACACTTGTTGAGAAACTACCCATTTGTAGCACTCCAATAACAGCCCTATATTAGAAGGTTCCGAGGTCTTCTTTTCAGACGCATAGGAGAATTTTCAGGAATCAAGGTTATGAACTTTTGGTCCGGATGGGACTGGAGTTCATCATGGAAGGATAGATGCCTAGGTTGGGCCAAGCCAAGAGGAACATTAAGGTCATTATGGATTTTATTTGTGAAAAAGGAAGGGACGTTGACAATTTTTTTAAAGAATGTGGTTTTCTAGGATTCAATACGAGGAGAATTCGAAGGTTTAGTGAAACCCCTAAGGAAAGGATAATGAGAAATTGCTTATGGGTTAAAATTTACAATTCACACCCTCCATTCAATCTCTTTCCACCAGATCCCGTACATCTGACCTCTATCCTCCTCCTTACCGAACATCTGTGTTAGACAAATCCTTAATAACTCAAGCTTATCCCTCTGGAATTCTATCTGATATTTGACTCGCAAAGTCAGTATCCTCTTTCAAATCTCTTCTCTTCAAGCACCTATTCCCAATTCGGTTGATCAGGAAATGCATTCATAAATCTAAGTCGTAAGACTCTCAAAGCCCTCCCCCCAAAAAAAAACTTTGATTATTTTTTGATTTATTGATATTTTGTTTATTTATTTTACTTTCTTATGTTTATTTTATATTTATGTTGGTTTTTATATCTTTTCGTTGTTTATACCTTTATTTTATTACCGATCTTGTAAATATTTAATTTTATTTTATGGGCACCAGCATGTTAATTTATATTCTTTATTTCTAATTTATTTTAAAGGGACATAAGTCTCAGAATGATAAAATTATTTTCATTCATTTAAAAAAAAAATTCAAAACTAAATAATGACTCAATAACTAGAAACAGCTCATCACTCATAGGCTTCTTAATATATATATTTATTATTATCCTTAATAAATAATTCGAGTACCTATACATTACATTAGTAATACAGAGATTAATAAAATTATAGTTTTTATTTTAAAGTAGCTGGAACGTAGCCAAAATCAAGAAATTAAAAATATTGATGGTATCAAGTAGCTAATAAACAAAATATAAATAAATAATTCAACGCTCTAACAATCGATCGTAAAATTAGGACTAGGATTTAAAATATGACATCCGCTCTTGTGAATCGATTCTGTTGGGTCGATGCCAGAAATCCACCGGCTCAGACAGTATTTTCGTTTCAATAAAACATAAACTGGATTATTAATCCTTAATACTCGCATAA